ATATAAAGAGAATCATTGATTTGTTGCAATATCACATTCATCAATGGTTGATTTCTGGCCCTTAAAATGGTCTGCTTCCTCCATAGCCAGCAACTCAGATATATGAAGTAACTCTGTTTTTTTTTTTTTTTTTTTTTTTTTTTTTTTTGTGTGTGTGTGTGTGTGTGTGTGTGTGTGTCTGTATGTGGGATAGTACAACTCGTAGCACTGGATGCAATCGAATTGGCTGCCAAGATCTGAGCTGAAACTTAGTGATCCAAACATTCTACATCACTTGTCGACAGAAAGAACATTCATTTCCACTTCTGCATATAAAAACTGAGTATCATGAAGCAATTTATTAAGGCTTGGCCAACTGAAGGAGGCTGTTTCAAGTATTTCATTTTGGCATTTCCTAGATTGTCATTTGAAAAGGCCAGTGTGTTTGAAGGTTCACAGATTTGGCAGCTCCTTAAAGATGAACATTTCATCAAGAAAATGACAGAACTTCAAAAGAATGCTTGGTTAACATTCAAAAACATTGTTAAATACTTTCTTGGAAATACAGGTGTACAGAATAACAGAGAAAATGTCCAGCAACTTTTGGAGATCTTCAAATGCTTGGTTGCAATATAAGCATCAAATTGCATTTTTTACATAGCCATCTAGATAACTTCCTGAAAAATCTTGGTATAGTCAATGATGAGCAGGGTGAGCGATTCCACCAAGATCTGAAGGTCATGGAGCTGCAGTACCAAGGTAGATGGGATGTACATATGATAGCTGCCTATTGTTGAAGCATCAAATGGGAATGTCCACAGATTAAACACTCCAGAAAAAGACACAAGGGAAAATTTTACCTTAATATATATGCTTGGTTAAAAAAAAAAAAAAAATTATATTTGTATGAACAAAATTTCACTTGCATTAACTATATTTAGCCTTTGTATGAATAAAACTATTTTTTGTGAATGGAATAGTTAGTAAGTTTTCCCTTTATTATTTTTTTACATGCACATCTTGTATGACTTTTGAGACAAAGAAAGGGTATCCTGTAGCTTTAAAAAGATAGACAAAGACAACTTTTTTTTATATACTCAGAGGCTAAAAGTTAGTCAAAAACAAGTGGCAGATAAAAGACAATTAAACTGCTGTTCCCCAGTGTTCCATATTAATATTTACAGGACTATAGAAGTATATAAATACAGCAATGTGATTAAAAAAACTTATCAAGGTTCTGCTATACTATGTAAAATAATAAAACAACAGAAATTAATAATCAGTTTCACATGTGTTCCCTTATCTAAATAGTTCCCATGTGCTTTGCATAATACAAATGATTTACCTTAACCTTCATATGTATATAAGGTATTTCTCCTGCCTTCTTAGCATGCCTTCCTGGTGTAGTGGGCAGCACGCTCGACACGTATTCGAGAGGTCTGTGGTTTGAGTTCCAGCGAGGGCATTGCTCATTTTTTATCTTTTCTGCTTTGAAATAACCTAATGTCTCTGCATGTGTTCTAAACTTTATTCAATTTAACACTAGAACCGTGGAGCAGGTCAATTTGACCCAAACCAATGTTTTATTTGTCACCACACGAAAAGTATTGATTGAAAAAAATTCCTTTCATGACTTTTAATAATTTAAGGTAAACAATAACTTACCGAATTTGAAACTGCATAACATAAATAAATTTCTGATTACTAACACTTATACCTAGAACCGCGAAGCGGGTCAATTTGACCCGTAAGAAATGTTTATGCCTAAATGATGAAAAACAGATACATTTTCTTGGAAGTGTAAAGTATATCTGCTTCTAATATCTATTAGGTATATCTGTTCATTGAGGTTGTCAAAGGGAAGTATACAGTCTTACAAGGGCTTCTAATTCCTAAAATGGACTATACTAGGAAAGGGAATAGTGTGGTTTTCAGTCAAGGTTCAAAATGCGAAGTACATCCAAATGCAGTGGGAAATCACAACGAATATTTCGAAAGACTTTTTGGAAGTTGCTTTTATTCTATATTTAGTACAAGGATAGACAAGATGTCACGTCGTTGAGGATTGTTCAAAACTCTTCAGGAAGCTTTGGAATATTTACAACAATTATCTGAAATGATTCAGAAGATGATGATAATGATAACAGTGTTTCTATTTGAGTTGCGAGGATCAATACCTGCCTGCTAATGAAGAAAATTTGAATTCACATGAAAAAATTGAAAGTGACGATGACTCTGGCAGTGCCTTAACAATTGCTGGACCTTTTCATCGGAATAATGATGATAATTTATCAGATCAAAAAAGAAAAATAAAAAATTCTAAGAAAAGACGCATACACTCAATGAAATCCAAAAAGAAATCAATAGTAACATTCAAAGTTGGAAATAATGAAGTTGGCAAAGATGGGACAGTTTGGAATGTCATACAGTTAGGAACAAATTAATAAAGGAAGAAAAGTAAAATATTTTGAAGGAAGTTCAGGGCCCAACACTACATGGCAAATGCAATATTATAGACAAGAGTCTGTCAAGTGCCTGGAGACTTTTCAAAGATGAAGGGATATTGAAGCATATAAAGAAATACACTGAAGAGAAAGCTCATCGAAAGATTCATGAAAATGAATGGAATATAACAGTAGCTGAAATGGATGCTTTTATAGCAATTTTATATGCACTTGGTATATATTGTGAAAAAAGAGAATTGGAATTTGAATAAATTTGGAATCAAGTTATGGTTAGCTGAAAATGTTGACTCAAAATATCTAATAAACGGATTCCCGCATCTTGGAAAAGATAACCAAAGTCCATCCAATGTTATTCTTTCTGAACATGTAGTACTGTTCAGAAAGAATTATTCAGTTATTAAATTCAGTTATTAAGTCCATATGAAACCAAAGGTAGAAATTTCACTGCAGATACATTTTCACAACACTGAAGCTTGCAGAGGCATTAAAATCCAAAAACACCAGCCTTGTAGGAACTGTAAAAGGCTGAAGAAGAAAAATACCTGTCTATAAAAAATGTCAAAATCCGCATTGCATGCGACTACAGTGCTAACACATAAAGACATCAGTCTAACTGTTTATCAAGGGGAAAATGATAAAAACATTTTGTTGCTAAGTAGTCTTCATCCAAATGTAGAAATTATAGATAGTCCCAAAAAATTACCTGATATATTGCTTACTACAATGCAACTAAATTCGGTGTGGACGCAGTTAACCAAATGGAAATGAAGTTTATTGTCAAGTCTGCTTCGTGTAGGTGGCCAGTACAGGTTTTTGTAATATTTTGGACCTTGCTGCTATCAATGGTTGGGTTGCATACAAAGCCCTATCTGGAAAATCTATTAGTAGACAGCAATTCATTCAAGACTTAGTTGAAGAACTGAGAGAAAAGTTTTTTCTCCCCCGACAGAAAATGGTGACATATGAGTGCATAGAAAACCACAAGTTAGGCATAAACCAGTCCGATGCTACAGTTCAAAATGTGAAAATAAAACCCAAGATATTTGTTCAAAAGGAAAAGTACCCATCTCTACATATAATAAAAGAAGGAGTTTGTGTGTCTTTCATTCGTGCTGCGCATAAGCTAATAGACCCAGGGCTATGAAATTTGATATATAGGTGCATCTAGACAAGATCTAGTGCACCTTGAAGCGATTTTTTCAAAATTCGAATCAGATTTTTTTAATTTTACCTTTTTGATTTGATTGCATCATTTTGAATAGTTTCATTCTTTTAGAAATGTGGTTTTGGCAAAAGTTTTTCATTCAATTGTATACTAGACTGCTGACTGTTGGAAATCCGCACTGTTGCCACTTGGAAAAATGAGGGCGATAATTCTGTGCAGTTTTTTAATTTAATGTTTCTCTTGGATAGTAGACGCTTGTTGAGAGAAGATAACGGGAAGTTGGTTAATTTATTTATTAGGATAATTAATATTTGCATTAAGGGATACTGCTTATTTCATTGTAATTTTGTTATACGCAATATTATTTATTTTATTTTTTTTTTTTTTTAAATTTGTGGGGTTTTTATGAAATTGTTCTACAGAGTAAAATTCTGTGCAGTTTTTAAATTTAACGTTTGGTATTACCTTCAGGAATTTTTCCAGTACATTTAAAAGCTACACGAAGGCTGGCCGCACAGCTGCTAGTTTATGATAAATGTACAAAACATATTACAACATTTTGTGCATGATGCTTACAATAAATAGAATTTTTAAAAATCTGTAAAACTAATAAATAACTAGTAAAATTTTTATTTTTTTCCTCTAAAATTATGTCTAAACTTATTTAAATGATATACTCTGTTTTACCATCAAATTTAGAAAAATTAATTTTATTTTGCTTAAAAGACATGTTATTGTACATAATAAAATTTTAAATATGATTTTCTGAACATTTAGGTAATTCCTGTTGATTTGTATAAAATATGTAATGTAAATTCTGAGAAATATTGATTGTTACATAAAAATAAAATGTTTTAGTTAACTAAATTAATCACTCGTGCATATTTTTAGGTGCTTTCCATCTAGGGACAAATTGACCCACATCGCGGTTCTAGGTATATCGAAAGTACCACGGTTCTAGTGTTAAGGTCAATATTTTATAATAATAATAAAAAGGGGGACTTGACACAGCCAACATAATTTATATACTTGAAAACAACTTTATTTCTGGTATCATGAGTAATAATTCAGTAAATATGCAAAATTTGGATTTGATAATATCTTGAATTTTAATTTATATATTTGTAACCAGTTTTACTTTTGACAGCATGCCCAATAATTCAGTAAATCATATATATGAAAAATTTGGATTTGACAAAAGTATTGACCTTCACTGTCACATACATTTACAAAATTCTGCTTACAACAAATACATCACCCTTTATTTATTTATACTTTTATATTTATATTTCAGCAAATAAAGTCATCCTATATATAAGAGTATACATCTTCCATTGTAAAAGCTCATTACTTAATACCAAACATATATAAATAAATGCTGACAAACTTACAGGATACTGTCCACATAAATGAGCAGTTAGGAAACCTCCATGAGATCCACCAAACAATACAACATCACTAATTTTCAGTTCAGATTTATTTTTTAGATATTCAGCAGCATGCTAAATATATAAAAGAGGAAAACAGCATTATCTTCATGCAAAAGAATGATTTTCAGAATTAATATATATTTCACAAATTAAGTAAAATGCACTCAAATATACACAAATCTTAACAGTCTTCTTAAAGCGTTAGACATTATTATACATTTTTATCTTATACATACAATACAAATGTCTACTTATAAATAAAAAATGATTTGATTATAAAAAATATCATCTATGGTTGAAACAATTTGAATACATTCACTAGTGGTATGTATTTCCAAAACTTTTCACAAATTTTGTGAAAGTAATTAACAATTACAACTGTTATTTGACTGTAATACAGTTTAATATTCATGTACTTTAAATCATTATTTTACTATATAAATTCTTTGCATTTATTTTATTTACATTAAGAAATAAAATAAGCTTGAAGTAAATCAGTATCAAAATAAAAGCATCTTTAATTCAATTCATTTCATTTATTAATTCTTAAATTTTCTTCTTTCATGTTACACAATAGTTACTACAAATAATTTTTTACAATAGCCCTTTGAAAAGTACACTCTCATGCAGAAAAACAACACTTCTATGAAAATGTTACGATATTTCATCTTGATTATGCATCATAACTTTTGAAATGTGTCGCATTACTAAATAATATGTCATGGCACCAATTTTCATTCATCAGCATAAAAAATTGAAAAATATAATAATTATTGCAACAATTCACACACATTTAATTATAATGATGACATGAATTTTCAGTATCATGATTCATGCACAATTACAAAGAGAGACAAGGCAAAGAATTCCTTATTAACTGCATAACTATCACAACCTTTATACTGTTCCCTCCTAAATTCAAGAGTTTTTTTAGTTTTGCTTAAAAATTTCAATACAAGTTTATGATTTCTAATTTTACCCATTTAATTTTGTTGAAACATGTAAGGAGGTACCTATTGCTGTAGCTAACAAGCTGGGATTTCTAAAATTAAACTTCAGCAAATTGGACTTTTGCGTAAGTCCGACTAGGTACAGTGTTATAAAAAACAAAATAGATTCTGTATTCAATAATCAAAGCAAGACAATCAAATCAAGATGATACAAATATACACACTTAATAAAATAACTATTTATTTCTAAAATTTAAAAAAAATCATACTTGTACATCTTGCACATCCTGAGTGCCAATATTGCCCAAAAGAGACCTCACACTGCTATCTCCATATCCAAGTGACCCACGATAATTCACTAAATATAAAATAAAAAAATATGAGTATTAACATCAGTTTTCATTTAAACTGAATTCTCTAAAATTAAAAAAACCACATACTACCATAACTGCGTTCAATTTCACTTTACTGTTAATTTTGAAACAAGCATTGCATATATCCTTCTAATTTGAATGAATTCATTTCAAAATCCATAATTAATACCACTGCAAGCTTAAAAGGTTTAGCATGTACATAATTATACTGCAAAGTTTCAAAATATGTCAAAAGTAAAAATGGTCATATCACATTAATATACAATAATGTAAATCCCCTCACCATTATCCTCTTGCATTAATCACTAAACTGAGTTTCCATGCACAGTGCTAACCAATGTAATCAAACGGTATTAAAATGATGATGTAGAAGGTTTTTTTTTCCCCAACACATGTTAAAAAAAGAATGGCATTATTTCTATCACCACTTAAAATAGCAATACTGTAATTCACTATGTTACAGATAATGTACTTTTTAACTGAACAATAATTTTTTTCATAATTAGGCTAAAATGTCAGAATCTCTTCCTTTCACATGAAAAAAAAAAAAAGTGAGAAAATATATTGTAATGCTTGATATGCTTTGCACTGTTTTCTTTGCTGATACAGTATATAATATAAAGATCACCCAGTATATTTCACTACTTATTTATTCAATATTCGAAATATCTGTTATGCATACTTTAAACTGAATATATATATATATATATATCAGGCAACTATTGTGTTTTATGCAGCATTCACTACAGTCAAAAGTCGTTAATTCGGACTCGTCGGGACTTCGGCGATTCCGGATTATCGATTTTTCCGGATTATAGATCATCAGTTTAAATCTCGTAAGATGGCATGCAGAAATTCTAAAATTAAAAATATGAAACCGTAATTTATGAAATAAAGAACAATTATGATCTAAAGGGTATCAAAATTTACAAAAAGAAAAAGCTTAATATTTATTTGTTTACTTTATTAAACATTTCTTTCAATGTAAGTTGTTTAAGTTTTGCTTCGTTTCATATGATAATACTTTCTCTTTAATTCTATTAAACAGACATAATTTCTTGTTCAGTTACAAAGTTCCACTGTTCAAGTCCTATAATTGCTGTGTCTAGAACACCGATTAATTTGTCAATCGAAATTTTTTCGTTTTCAATAACCTCTGTCACTTTCTTCGCTATCGAAAGCGACTTTTAATGACGAGGAACTTGTTTTAAATCATATCAAAGACAGAGCATATCGAGATGAAATACTACATTTGGTAAGGAATTATAAGCCAAATAAAATAAAAACATCTGCGCTGAAGATAAGGATAGTGTTGACAGATCAACTTCCAATTCATTACGCGCCCGCCGCGGCGATCCCCCCACCACGCAGCGTGAAATTGATAAACAGATTTCGGATTTCAAAACATACTTTCGCTTTAGATCCTTTACATATTAACAAATATATATCGGAAATTCTATTTGATATAATCGAAAGTTTAAGCTTACTTTTATAAAATTGCTCTTACAGTCTGCAAAAAATAATAAGCCGGATCCAATTCGAAAATTAAGGAACCACGCAATCATCAACATTAACTGAAATAGATAATTAGATAATTTTAGCTTATACGTCCATTATACATAAAACGCGTATGCGAAAACGTATTCTGCACTTGCGCACACTCATATGCGCAGTCGTAAAAGGTCTTACGCGCACGCGTAAACGCCTATGTGCATGTGTCAACGCGGCGCATGCGCAGAAAGTTTTTAGTTTTGAGGTCCGGATTATAGATCATTCCGAATTATGGGTGTCCGAATTAACGACTTTTGACTGTATTATCCATATTTCCTGTATATGTAGGTCTTGGAATATATAACCCTCAGAATATGGCAAACAATTGTACTTTTGCAAGTTTATTTCCCCAATTTACCTCTCAAACTGTATACAAATACAGTCAAAAGTCTTTAATCTGGACTCGTCGGGACTTCGGTGATTCGGGATTATTGGTTTTTTTGGATTATAGATCATCAATTTAAATCTGGTAAGATGGCAGGCAGGAATTATAAAATTTAAAACATGAAACCGTAATTTATGAAATAAAGAGCAATTATGATCTAAAGGGTATCAAAATTTAAAAAAAAAAAAGCTCAATATTTATTTGTTTACTTCATTAAACATTTCTTTCAATGCACTCATGCGTAAAGTATACATTACGCATAGTCGAAATTAGAAAATTGCAAACAGAAAACTATTTGATGTGTATTCATGATATTTATAATGACAAGAAATTTGATTTAAATCATATCAAAGACGGAGTATATCGAGATGAAATACAACATTTAGTAAGGAATTATAAGCCGAATAAAATAAAAACATCTGCCCTGAAGATAAGGATAGTGCTGATAGATCAACTTCCAGTTCATTGCGTGCCGCGACGTCCCCCTCCCCCGCGTAGAGCAGCGTGAAATTGATAAAATGATTTTGGAATGATTAGAGAAACAAAGGATATGCCTTTATCCATTTTTGGAGCAATTCCACTTTTTGTTTGATGCACATCGAAACATGCTTTCGCTTTGTAGATCCTTTGGCAGCTTCAGAACCGGAAATTCTTTTTGACATAATCAAAAGTTCAAGCTTACTTTTATAAAATTGCTCTAACAGTCTGCAAAAATTAATAAGCCGGATCCAATTCGAAGATTAAGGAACAACGCAATCTGCAACATTAACTGAAATAGATAATTAGATAATTTTAGCTTAGCTTATACCGTCCTTTATACATTAAACGCACATGCATAAACATATTATGTGCATGCATAAATGCATATGCGCATGTGTAAACGCATTATGCGTTTACGCGTGCACAGAAAGTTTGTAGCTTTGATGTTCGGATTATAGATCATTCCGGATTAAAGACTTTTGACTGTATATATATAACTATGTAAAGATGTGACAATGAGAAGTATGCAACATGATTTTGAGCAACATAAGAAAATGCTTAATTTTTAAAACTAAACATGAATAATGAGCAATTTATTTTCATTACCACTTACCTAAACCAACTACATAACCTAACTTCACAAAGGCTGCTACAAATACCATGAAAGAACAGAGAAACACTGAGTGTGGTCCACCTAAAATTAAGAATAAATATCACATTTTAAAGGAGAAGACAGTATTATAAAAATAATTCATTTATGCAATAATATAACATTTGGTGTGATAATATGGATGGAAATTTAAGGTTAGATGACAAAACATCCACACCTCTTTAATACTATGTCAATATTTTTCTAGTAAAAACACAATTTCACATGTGCAGGAATTAATTCCATTAGATGCTAAAAGCACACAAACCATGCTTATTCCTCTCTCCACAACAACAGTTTGTACAACAGTCTTACAGTGACAGATCTAATACTTTAATCATAGCTTCAAGAAAAATTGGTATTTAAACATTAGCAGAAACACTTTGTGAAAGTCACTAAAATTTTCAGAATGTGCCGAACTCTAGCAACCATGATACATAACAGCTTTTTTACTTTGAATAAGCAAAGTAGCCATTTTTCTATCTATGTATTCTGTTTATTGCATTGAAATTTCCAACAGTTCTTATAGACAAATTGTAATATTATTTTTTTCTTAAATTCACTTTTAAAATATGAATTTGTGGGATTTGGTTGCCGTAGAAGTAATGCAGTTACAGAAAAGTTCTGCATGTCTATGGTTACTACAAAATTACTAAAGAAAGCAATTGTTTTAGATCTATTTTTAAAGCAACTGCTAAGAAATTTTCAATGGGATATAAGAAAAGCCAATTAATAAGTTTCTTTATTTACTTTTTAGATAAATACCAATTTAAAATATGAAATATGTATATAATACTATGCATGCATGTAATACTTCTTCGCAACTTTTAAATTATTATTCTTTATCCTCTTTTAGATATAAAATTCAAGACAAATATGGGTTAGGGCTGTCTAAGCTTCTAGTTGCCTTGAAATATTTCTCCCTATGTATAATGTAATATTCTAACAATGTGCAGGAAAAGATAAAATTAATAATGTAATAGAAAAATAGCTCATGACTGTCTCATAAGCATGCTGCACCAACAATTTGTGATCAATATGTGGACCAATTCTGGTATAGTGATCAGTCAGTATATATTTCAAGAACACACAGAGCAGGATTAAGGATCAGGCTATGTATGGATGGTATATTAAATTCAAGCATGTGCCAACACATTACTTATCAAAAATAATTTAGAGTTTCATGTACATTTTATACATTGCTTTCTTCAATTTGCCTGTTAGCAAGTAGACATTATGATTATTATATTAAAGGAGAAAATTATTGACCTAATAACATTAAAAAAGTTCTTTAAACATATCAATGAACATAATATCTCTGCCACATCATCATAGAACTACCATAAACTTAGAAAAGTGGGCTAAGGGCTTATGTTTATTACACTCATATCCTCCAATTAGGTTAGTGCAGCCAGAAATGTGATTTATTCAACCATATGTTTGCCATCTCTCTACGCAGGTTCCTTCTCAAAGTTCCTGGCACCAGAAAAGGTATAGTCTTCTGATAATCAGCAGTGATATTAAAGTAGGACATTGGCTTTTATAGCTTAGATTCCTATATTCACTGATGTTCCTTGAAATTCCAATTTTAAAGTTGGATGTTATAAAAGACACTGTATATGACACGTCTGCATTAGTCTAAATAGCCTACACAACAATGGTCATCAACAGTGAGCAGATAGTTGTGCTACATGTTGCTATATGCATCAACATCAATTATTAGCTTCAGATAGTGAAAAAGAATACCTGCAGCAAAATCAAGTATTCTTTTTCACTATCTATACATTTATTTTAATTAGCCACAAAGTAAAATATCTCTCTCTGTTCCTACCATAAAGTGTGCTCCTATTGTTGCATTCAGTAGTAATCAGTATAACTCACTTACATCACATCTTTTTCCCATTTTCAGTTAATCCTTTGTTTAAAATTTCACATTTATAGATATAATTTTTAAATCTTTATTTCTTTAAAATGTTTCAGAAGTCTTAGATTCGTCAAATACATTTGAGAAATTTGCTCAAAAAGATTAAAAACAGAATATTGAAAACATGAATATGAAATAATTGATTGGAATAATCTATGAAAATGAATCATAATCTATGAAATGTTTTTTTAAAGAAAATAGGCAGAAATTTATGAAACTGGTAGACATTTGAAAGACTTCACACAATGATGATGAAGCTAAGTAATTTTTTCATTTCCCTTTACATCAAATAACATGACAAAGTTATCAGCATTAATATGCAATTTTATTTCAATGGCTCAACATATCTAAGAATTCAGCATTAAAGTAAAAAAAAAAAAAAAAGTCAGATTAGCAGAGTTTTGCTGCAACATCTCAGTGTCTATGAAAATTTAAAGAAATTCATATAATCTTGGCAAAAGTATTATGTATCACAAACATCAGAATCTTCATTCATCTGAATGTAAACTCAATAAAAACACAAATTTAATAAATGTACATATGTATGATTTGTGATATTAGTTTCAACTTAAGCATTAGTTTGATAATGATATCGGACTAGTGTAATTATCAGTCATATTAGAAAATACAGATATTAGAAATTACAGAACATATTAGAAATGCAGAACATATTAGAAAATACAGAAGATGTAAACTCCTTTCGTATTATTAAATAGTACAATTTCTAACTAAAAGTATCATTTCTGTCTTTAAAATAAAAATTTTGAGTATTTTTGGTGGCATAAAATGTAACAATATCTGGAGAAGAAGAATTAACTCTGAACTCTATAAATCCTTTAAAGAAATAGATATAGTAAAATATGTAAGGATTCAGAGAATTAAATGGGTAGGACACCTGTGCAGAATGGATGAAAATCGAGTAACTGAAAAGATCTTCTCGGCCAGACCATTCGGCACACGAAAAAGAGGGAGACCTAAACTTAGGAGGCTCGACTGTTTGGAAACAGACCTTAAAATAATCAATTTTAAAAATATAATCAATTGGATGTTCATGGTCAGGGATAGAAGAGATTGGAATTCGATTCTGAGGAAGGCAAGGGCCCATCCTGGGTTGTCTGGCCATTGAAGAAGAAGAAAATTTTTAATGATAAATGAAGCACATTAGGTAAATTATTTTGCAAACAACGTTTTCAAAATATCAGGATATTTGAACTTGCTAATCTTCAGGTGCACAAAAATGAATATGATACAAAAAAGCTATATCACCTTGTTTTTATAATACAGACCAAAAAACACGAAGTCTGAGAGATTATCTCCCTATTTTACTAATATATTTAAGAAATTGTCATGCAATAATAACAGACATAATGAGAATTAATTTGAAATAATAATAATTTAATAATGAAAAAACTTAATGACATTTTTTAAATCATCACAGTTTATGTATTCACTTTTAAATGCTGAATTCAAATCAATTCCTAGCATTTATTAACCTTAATTAAAATTTCTGAAATATTAAAATTATACATACTTACCATGTGGCCATATAATTAACGGTGATTTATCATCTATCTCCTCTGGAGAAATCAATATGACCTCATATTTTAAAAATGCTGCAATCACAGAAAAAGATTATGAAAAGAAATAAACATTCAGCAAGTTCATTAACAGCAAAGCTTACAAGCACAATAATGCATCTGAAGCTAATAATTCTGCCAATTATTTTCAAGCTAAGTCATGTGCAATATAAATATTAATCAGTTAACTTAATGAAGTCCTGCATGAATATCTCTTTCCTTAAGAATACAACCCTTAAAATGCTTTGCAATAATTAAATAACCAAAAACCCAGATTTAAAAAAATCCTCCATGAAAGATGTGTTTCTTAATTTATTATAGTAAAATCCCGACTATTCAGCATTCAACTAACTGGAAAGTTCAAGTAATCAAAATATTTTAGAATTTTAGAAATTTTTTCCTCAGGAAAAATTCAGTAAATGAGAGATTTATAACGCAATTACAGAGCTCATAATACTATTAAAAAGTATACATTGTCAGCAAACAGTGTAATTTAGTGACAATAATGGATAAGCATGGCAGCACAACACAATCATAAGCAGTTCACTTTAGTTTAAATTCTTGATAAGCTCTGGGCATCAACAAAAGCCACAATATGCAACTTTGAAAATGGATAAACAATGGAAATGAAACATGGAAAATTATATGGGATATTTAAATTTTTTAATACTTTATCTGTAATTTGTATCGCTTTATTATCTAACTAAATAAAGAAAAATCTGCTCATTTAAACTTATGCCGGAATGATTGGTGACATCTCTGACAGCTTTCATGCTCAGCAGAATTTCATATTTGGATCAAATGTTTTACTCTCATCCATTGACCATGATAATTCTTAAGTGAAACATGTTGGCAGTAGATGAAATTGATTGAAAGTAAATTCATGCTATACATGGATGCATCCAGATCAGAACAACAAGTGGTAATACGGTTTCTGATTGTGGAAGGTGAGCATAAATCAGAAATATATTGGTGAATGGTGGCAATTTATAGCGAGCATTGTTTAGGTTGAACGGCTGTGAATAAAAGGTGTAAAAGTTTTCCTGAAGGGCGGCAAATGATGCTGGTTCTGGTAAGGGCGGGTTAAGCAAAATTCCTGATCACCAACAACATCTTTGCTGCTGTTGACAAAATGATCAGAGCTAATAGAAGAGTTTGAATCCATGACATCAGCGATAAACTCAACCTGAGTAAAGGAATGGTTCACATCATCATCCACCAACATCTGCACTACAGCAAAGTGTATGTGGAATGGGTACCAAAACCTCTTACCCTTGATCATGAGAAACGACAAATGGGTCTCAGTCTCCAGCATTTGGTCCATTATGCGGCAGATCCCGCATTTCTGGAATGCATTATTGCAAGTTACGAGTCTTAGTGTCACCACTACACACCTGAACCTAAGAAAACGAGCAAGCAAGGGAGACTCATTAAACTGAAAGCAATAATGATTGCATAGAAAGTGATGCTTTCATTTTTCTTCAATTGCCATGGACCACACTTGATTAATTTCTTGCCCCAAGGAAGTACTACAAATTCAACACAATACTGCAGTAATCTGAAAAGACTACAGAAAGCAATCAAATGCAAACAGCCAGGCCTTCTTGCACAAGTGATTCTTCTCCATGAAAATGCCTGCCACACATCTCCCATGAAACACAGATGACCTTGAACAAATTCAGTTGGGAAATGTTAGAACATCTGCCGTACAGTAGAGATTTGCCACCCTAAAATTTCCACATCTTTGGGCCACAAAAGAGAGCATTACCAAGGGGGGGGATGTTTTCATTCAGATGATGAAGGGAAGGAAGCTATGCTGGACGTTCTCAAGAATCAACCATAATCTTTCTACAGCAAAGGCATAGACCTGCTGCTGAAACGATGGGACCTGTATTACAACACCCAAGGGAATTTCTTTTGATTTCCAACAAAGGTAAGCTTTATATTCAGCTTGCCACTTTTCATTTGGCAAATCTTATATGCGGATAGTCAAAACTTGCAACAGCTCTGTAAAAATTCTTTGCATTCATTAACATGAAATCTTGTGCATGTGAGATGTCAAGATCTCGATTTAAACAGATGTTTTGCACAAACCGAGGAGTATTAGTAATGTTTCTGAGAATTTTAATTTGAAAAATCCACATTTTCTTACAGTAGGTTCCTGCAGCAGTTGCCCAAACTGGAGCTCTGTAAAAAAGAATAAAGTGAATAAGCGCAATATAGAGAGTACTTTTCACTTTATGCATAATTTTGATTTTCAGCCAATTAAACTGTAGATAAGCATCTATGCGGCATTTGCTTTGTTGAACACATAATTAACATGCTCTTTAAAATTTAACTGCTCATCTAACATGATTCCAAGATATTTAATTGAGTTCATAAATGGGAGTGGATGGTTCTTTTATGTGTATGATGAGGTTGATATTACAGTTTTTGCTGTATCTGGTGAATAGAATGACACTGCATTTATTTGCCTTTAATTTTAGTTTCCATAAATTGTACTAGCATGCCACAATGTTAAGTCCAAATTGTAAATTATCGAAAGCATGTTGCGAATATCTGGATCTGCTCATAACAACAGTAGTGACAGCATATTTTGCAATCATGCAGTACTATGGAGGTTCATGGTACTATGCAGGTTCATGGTAATCATTCAGGTAAATGTCGAAGAATCCTAGAGCTAAGACTGCACCCTGCGGTACACTCGCTTTGATAATTTTTTTATTTGAGAATGTATCCCTGATTCTTATTTGGAAGGTGCAAAATTTTAAACATGAATTAAGTACAATCAATTTTCATGAAAGCTTAATACAGATAAGTTTGTAAATTAATCTGGGGTGCTAGGTTCAATCAAAAGCTTTTTCTAGACCAAGGAAATAAGCTGCAATGCTGGATATATTGGTGAACACTTCTGCAATTGTTTCCAACACATTTAAAAGTTGCACTGTAGTTATGAGTCCTTGACAGAAGCGGTATTTGTTATTCTTAATGATATTATTTTTCGTGAGATGTTCACTGAGTCTCTCTTGAACGGTCCTTTCAAAAATATTTCTGAAACAAAGTATGAGACTTAATGGGTCTATAAGTGGATGGTTTTTTTGCATCTTTTCCTGGTTTTAGGAACTGAGTGTTTCCATTATAGTAGAAAAAGTTCTAATCTTAAGCATACATTCATAACATTAGTTAGGCGTATGATGCATCTTCTCGGGACTTGTTTGATCGCATTATTAGATATTTCATCATATCCATTGGCTTTTTTATGAAATTATTAATTTCACTGGGTGAAATGTAAGGAATATTTTCTTTTTCAGGGACATTGTTTTGTACATAGCTGTTGACTTTACTAATATTCAGATAAGAAAGTTTTTTTCTAGTTCCTTCACAAAAGCTTCTCAGACAGCTAAAGTGTTTCCATACAGTAGGAGGTCCAATATTATTGGAAAGTTCAGATCTCGCTATTCTCCAGACAGTGCTATTGTCAATTTAATAGCAGAATTTTGTCCAGTTATTGATACTCACTGATAGGTTCTGAAATTTCTCTCATAAGATAATTAAAGTGTCATTTAATATTTGGATCTCTGGTAATTCTCCAGTTTTTTTCTGACTCTGTGTCTAATTCAGATTTCTTCCAGGATGTAATCAGGAAGTGAGTTATATTCTTATTGAGTGGTCAGTTTAGTAGAATTTTTCAGTACACTATTAAAGCTGTCATTTAATTTGGTTATGCCTAATTCAATATCCAAGATGTTGGTCAGTTCAGGACTATGTTTAAGGCTTAAGAAATACACTGGTTATACATATAGAATACTTTTGTTTTTTCAAAATCTTATATAATTTTAAATATAGACTTTTGATATTCAAGTTGATAACAAAAAAGATGATTATTTTTATATCAGAGCAAAAATTTTCCACATTATTTTGATTTTCCTCACATAAATTTCATTTTTTATATACTCAACTATCTGAAATTTCCATGCATCCAGAATTCGGCATTTCCTGAACTTTCTGGATAGTAGAGCTTTTACTGTAGCACATTTAAAAAAACTGTAGAAAATTCATTACTCTGTGAAACTAATCATTATAATATTGGCATCCATGAAAACATTCCTTTTCCGTGAATATATGACTTTTAAATTAACTTCTTAAAATAATGAAGCATTATAAATTATACTTACGGTACTTTGCATTTGGCACAGTAGGTGTAAGAGAAATAACATCCCATTTTATTCCAGGAATTTTTGCTGGTGTGCTATTATTCAAATATATCCATGTTACAGAAATATCTTCATCTATTTCAAGGTATCCAAGAGCCTTATAAAGTAAAATTTAAAAAATAATAAATATTTGGTAACATATACGGAAGGAAGGTATGCCAGAGTCAAACAAAAATTAGCCAAAATCCAAACATAGACTGGCATTTGTTTAGCAGAAAACGCAAAACTCAGTCCCCACCCAATTAATCTACCTCCAGCTTAAGGGGGATTTTTGTCTAATTTTATATTTGTCAATACTTTTCAGTACTTTAATTTGTTTACTGACTTATTTATTCTCATAACTTATACATTAGTAACAGATATTTTAACTACAGCAATTATAAAAGTGCAGGAAGCCAAAAATAAGTAATAAATTAAAAATCTTAACTTTTTTTAACATATGTACATGCACATGTCTTTATAAAAGTAAAGGATTCAGTTAAGTTTTATAAGGTCCTTATTTTATAAAAGAAATCCGTATATAATATCCCAACCAGACCACATGAACTCTACAAGATGAGATTTCCTTGCATGGAATATGTAAATAAAATAATCTAAGGACTAGATCTCTACAATCCAGAGTTTTCAAGGAAAAAAATTGAAAGAATAAGTATGATGTCACATCTGGTTTGAGAAAAATAAGTTTCACTGTAAACATGAACATTATTACATGTATATGACATTACACTTATATGAAAATTATGTTTAAATGTACATAGTGAGGCACTTGTACATGCCATAGAATGTCTGACTAAATGCAATCCAGCAGTGTCCAAAAAAAAAAAAAAAAAAAAAAAAAAAAAAAAAAAAGCAGCATAAAAACAAACAACTAAATTTCTTTTTAAAATAAATAAGGTATTATACAATATTTCCTTCAAATGCTCCCTCTTCTACCTCCCGAAAGAAAGGGATGTAAAGGTGCAGGTCTAGCATTTTTGGTGACTGCATCACCCCCCCCACACACACACATATATGCCCAATCTAGCAAACTGGGTTTTCTGTATAGAAACAAAAAAGATGTATAGGATAGATGAATCATACTGAAATCAAAAGTCATATTTTGCCAGAAAGGGTATTTTGTTAAAGAAATCAATTAGTCATTCAGATAATCATCACATATAAATCCAAAGGTTATACATATAGTAAGCTCTTAAAGCAGAAGATATCATTCAACAATGTGATTCTTCAACATTATCATCCCATTTGACCTGACATCTCTACATGACAGATGGCATGAAAACTGGACTGTGATTATATATATGACAGCTGTGATTGTTGAAGATCCTATCACATGTAAAATATGCTATATCATACGTAAGATATATGCAATGAAAGCATTATCGGCTTCATGTTGTTGTGACAGCTGTTCATAAAAGCTGATGCAATGCTGAAAGTCATCTGATGCAGATTTTACACAATGCTCTAGTTAAATGGGCATAACTTCACAACCCATAATATCCTGTATAGAATGCTCAACTACCTCACTAGTGCATGTGGGCTTATTGCTTGATCTTTTTCAACTTATCATAATAAGTATCTCAACATCTTGTGATAATGTTAGACTGTTATGGGTTTAGCAACCATCACTATGGAAATTTATTGTCAAAGCATTATAGTTTATTTGATAATGGCAAAGCACATGAGGGTTATCTGCCTAAGCAAAGGGTTGCTTTAATAAATGACCTTAAGGGAAACTGACTCGTATCCATGTTACATATGATGAAAACTACAAAATGCCCATTTGCCAATATTCCAACCCAGATCTAACTGTCAAACATTCAGTGCTTTACCACTTGGCCACTGGTAAACGCATTAATATTACATCAACAAATATGTTTGACGCAATATTAATGAGCAAAATATACCATGCAAACATTTGCTGTCTGTTAAGCAGTAACTTCAAGATACTGTCTTTCTTTTTTCTTCTTAATAAGTCAAATAATGACTGTTCATTTGTATAATAGATAAACACCTATCATCAATTATTAACTATGCAAATTTTCTCCTTTTGCAAGCATAATGATACGTTAAACATTTCATTATTGTTATAATTATTGTTGGGCAACTAATAGTTCTAGAATGGTTTCTAAATGCTCAATATAATACTACACTTAAGTTTTTGAAAGATTTATTGTCTAATTTGAAATAGCCCAGTTCGCAATTCCCTTTTTGACAGAATATAACAACATTTTTATAAGTTCTTTATTATTATTTATATATTCTTTATTCAACAAGCTTTTTGATATATTTCAGGCGCTTAGGAATATTAATAAGCACATAATTGCCTAAAAATGTTTAAAGGAAAAGAAGAATCTCATGTTTCTCATTTTAAATGAAAAATAAAAATTATTAATTTTAGAGAGAAAGATATATTAGACAGATTGTAAATTAAGCCTTTTATATAAAAAACGGTGTAGGCAAGGTGTAAATGCCAAAGAAATGTTCTTGAGGGAAATAAAAAGTGTTATTCTAGTGATGCACAATTGATAAGGAAGTTCAATGGCCTTTATTTTTTCAAAGAATAACAGCAGGTATAGTTCAAGCACAACTTTTATTGCATTAAGTTCATGACCCATTTTATCATAATTTTCATGGGTTTAAACTTAACCTAAAATATCTCAACATATGCCTATACTTAAGTAATCAAAAAAATAATATTTATACATATTTTGTTCATAAATAAAAAATAAAGATAATAATAATTTCAAACCAATAATTGGAAATTTAGAAATCTTTTGTTTTATTCTTAAACAAATAATATTTTAATTTTAATTTTCATAAAAACTTAATTTCATAATCTTTCTTCTCAGTGCATCTTTTCTGCTCTATTCCAAAATTTTCAGTCCATAGATGCATTTGAAATAACAGATAATCAAGTTTCCTACCCTCAGAAAGGCTGGCACTATTTTGTCTTTTTTCAACATTGGCTACTACGGAACTGGTGGCAATTTTATTGTGAAGGCACCTAATAGTCAGCCATCATTACCTCCTGTAAAAGGATGGACAGTTACAACCATGCCTTCTCCGGGATTCGAACCCGAGTTTTTCGGTATCATAGTCAGCTCCCCTAACCACTATACCATCTGGGTGGCAAAGATAATTAAGTACCAATTACTTCACATTTACTCTACTTACCAAGCATGGCTCAAGATCTGGAGAGGAGACTGAAGCTACAACAAAATTATCGAAGACATCAAGAACATGGCAAGCCCCCAGGGTTTCATCTGAAATTATAAAGAAAAGTTCTTAAGGATGCTGTTAATGCTCTTTATGCATTTGCACAGAATTGCAGATTACCAGTCTGCTCTAGAACTCACTCTTACTAACAACCCCCTTTTTTTTTTGCATTTTTAGCTTTATTATTAAGCATTGTTTTCTTTGCATTTATGCCACATAAAGTTCAAGAGCAAAATTACAAATATTTAAAAACAGCATATTGTTTATAATTTCCGATAAAGTTTTAGGGGTTTCCATATATTTTCTATTATATTCACTATATTATTTCCTTGAAAACCAGCCATACAAGCATCCAGCCACCTAAAAGATATTTAAAAAAGTATAAAATGATTTTAATGAGTCCAAATAGTGTCATATCATAAAAATATTTAATATTTTAATTAGACATCTCATAATTTAAATGCACTTTAATTTAAACCAATCATATTTAGAAGCAGTAAAAATATTTTTAAGAACTGCATTTACATCTTTTCAATTGCTTCATTTGCTACTCAGTAACAGAAAGATTAAACTTGAAAGTTAAATATTTTATGCTTTACTGAATTGCAGCACGCTAGTGCATGGAAATAATAAGTATTCTATTTGAGGCAGTGGCAACAAATTGCATTAAAATAACCAAATTCACAGATTAAAATTGAAAGATAAATAGCTTACATTTTGTCAAATGGCAATAATCTGGCACGCTGGAGATAAAAATGCTTTATTTCAAACTGAGTTGCCACTTCTCGCTTTCAAATCACTGAATTTGTTACAAAAATTCATTAAATTGCACAAAATATGAAATAAATAAAAAATGATTTCAATACTGAAAATTCAGGCTTAAGGTGCCCATATTCAGGTGAACAACCATATGTATTAAGAATCTGGTAGATTTAGGTAGTATCCCTTTCCCATAGCGGGAGAAACATACATACCCATATATACCCATATACCTTCATCATTTAATTTTTTTAAAAAAATGTATAGCAATAACATTTGGTGGCAAAAATTTGAAAAATGGTTTGAAAAATGATACAGACCAAAAGCGATTTTCGAAAATAATAGGAACTATGGTGCTCCTTCTTCCAAATATACCATGCAACAAGAAGTGTACCATGATAATAATAACACACATTATATGATAATATACTTTAAAATATAACTTTACACGTATGTACACTCTTTTGCAAAAGAATCGAAGCACCAAGAAGGACTTTTGCGATCGTGACGAAATTTGGTATACAAAAATATGTTGATCAAACATGCAATTGATCAAAGTTTCAAAGCAAATGAACAGGAATTGTGATCATAGCGTGCATTTCTAGTGCACAATTCACAAAGTATAAAACCAGTAACAGAGGCAGAAAATTTATCTTTTTTTTGTTGCTGCCATTGCAATTTCATATACAAGCAACTAATGATGCCATTACGACAATATTGAAGACCTTTCAGACAACTACGTGACTTCGAATGTGGTCACCTTGTAGGGTTGCGTGAATCTGGGTGGTCATACCGAGCAATAGACTGCCACCTGCAGCATACAGACACCGCTGTGCAAAGATGTTGGGAGCAATGGTTGCTACATTGAAATTGGTGATAAATGAATGCTCTGAAAGGCCAAGGATCACAAATGCAAGGCAAGATAAGATGATTATTCGTCAGGCCCGAACCTCCTCCAACAGTATCTTTGTTGACTATTCAACGCACAACTGCCACATGTATACCTCCCGTAGTACCGTCCACCATCACACGGTGCTTGTCTGAGTTGGGGTTACGCTTACAGAGGGCTTTAAGACGTTTGCCTTTGATTCCACAACATCAGCGGAGTCGTCTGGAGTAATGTCGCAGCTGATTATCATGCTGCCATCAGATTGGCATCGTATAGTGTTCAGCGACGAATCCCGCTTCACTTTTGAAGCCACCGTTGTTTGTGCCTGAAGAGGACAGTGCCAGCAGTCCCAATCAGCCTTTGTTTTACCAAGGCATACAGCCATAACCCTGGTGTGATGGTATGGGGCGCTATTTCTTATGACAGTAGGTCATCTTTAGTCATCCTCTGTACATCTTTAACAGCTCAACGATATGTTGATACTATCCTCCGGCCAGTTGCATTACCCTTCATGGCACTTCATCCTGGGGCTATTTTCCAACAAGATAATACCAGGCCACATACCACTCGCATATCTCTCTATGCGGTTGATACTCTTACCTGGCCAGCAAGGTCACCAGACCTTCACCGATTGAGCATGTCTGGGACATCGTAGGCCGCCAGATTCAGGCATCATAAAATATCGCAGATCTGGAGTGACAAGTGATGAATGCTTGGCAGAAATGGCATTAGGAAAATCGCAGGATGGCATTAGGAACCTTTACCCCTCCTTACCTCAACAAATTCAAGCATGCATTGCTGCCAGGGGCGGTTTGACTAACTACTAATTTGAACACTCAATGGGCGATTTGAGCCGTGAACAGGTACTATGATCTTGATTTTTTAATAATTTTATTATCTATGTATGAGCTATAGACATATTCAGTTTCATCAAAAACAACCACTTCCTTCATGGTACATGATTTTTTTGCAAAAGAGTATACATAAAGTATGAAATTTAGAACTAATTTTTCACAAAGAACAAAAATTGAAATTCATAATTAATAAATTTCAAGTAATCCTAGAAATGCAATTAAGAATTTTAAAAATGTCAAAACCAAAACTTTTCAAAGAAGCAATATTAAAAAAATTAAAGAAATGCAAAGAAAAACGAACACAATAGAATAGGAATTCAATCAACTTTAATGCCACTTCGTCAGAAAAAGGAAGACTGAAATCTCTCTTCTACAAAATTCCTTGCTTTTCTGTATCCAGAATTAGTCAATGAACAATTTCAATCTAGTTTAATTATAATAGTTAACCTGAAAATTCTGACCCCTCCCCAAAGCAAGGGGAAAAAAAGGTAAAGTAAATTTTAATTAGAATCTTGTACTTTAAATAAAGAGAATTCTAGTTAAAGAATGAAAACATAAGTGAAATAATAAAACACTTCAGTGAAAAGTTCAAAACAAAATTTTACATTTAAACAAACAGCATATAATCCGAAGAGTTTAAAATGCAAGTGAAATTATAAAACTTTAGTGAAAAGACTTTAAAACTCAGAAGAAGAAAATGGAAGAATCAGATTATTACTCAAAGCAAAAAGAAAATTGAAAAACTTCAAGGATTTAAAGGACTTGAAAACTGGAAAATTTTAGTTCTGAAGTTTTCACAATTAAAAAAGCATTTTACTTATCTTTATTTAAGATACAAGATTCTAATTAGAATTTACTTTACTTTTTTCCCCTTGCTTTGGGAAGGGACCAGAATTTTAAGGGTTAACTATTATAATTAAAATAGATTGAAATGGTTCAGTGGCTAATTCTGGATATAGAAAAGTAAGCATTTTTGTGGAAGAAAGATTTCAATTGATTTCAGTGTTCCTCCTCCTGACGAAGTGGCATTGAAGAATTCTTCTTCTATTATGTTCGCTTTTCTTTAAATTTCTTTAATTTGTTTAATTGGGATATTGCTTGTTTGAAAAGTTTTGGTTTTAACACTTTTTAAATTCTTAATTGCATTTATAGGATTATTTGAAATTTATTAATTATGAATTTCAATTTTTGGTCTTCATAAAAAATTAGTTCTAAATTTCTTACTTTATGTCTTTACTGATTATTTTTCAACAGATTAATGCATGAAATACTAAGCATTTTTATATTTTGGTTTAAAATATATATATATACAATGACAGAAAAAAAATCCCAATACCAAGAAGAAGTTGTCCTAGATACATAAAATTTGCTAGGTGTGTTTATTTATCTGAAAGATGGCCTCTACTCAAGCTTCCCTGCTATATGCAAAAGTGTGGCGCTAGTAGCACCACTATGAACTTGCAAATTGGGTTTCCTTTAAATATATGCTGCAAAGTTCGTGAGTGTTACTTATCATTGAGATTCGATGTAGTGAGTTGATGTTAGTCAAGATGAGTCAAGAAGGTGAAGAAACCATTATCAACAGCTCAGTGAGTTTGAATGAGGTCATTTTATTACACAACCTTGTTCAAGCTAAGAGAAGGTGGATTTTCTTTCCGCAATACTGCAGAAAGACTTGCCCTTCAGATTCCACCAATGAGTGCTTTGTAGCAACTACTTTTGCCAGCATCTTTGCAATGCCATCATATAGTGCAGGTATTGATGTATTGCTCAGTAAGCTCCTCGAAAATTTAATTATTTGCACACTTGGTATAAAGGAATTTGCATACAAAATTTTGAGGTAATTGGTTTTATTTTTTAAGGGTGGTTCACCCCCTCAAAAAAAAAAAAAAAAAAAAGAGTCTATAAAGCAGAAAATAATAATTTAAATAAATACCTGCAATATATGCAACTATTTCAAAAATAAAATTATAACTAAACCTTTTGAAAAAGAACTTATTTTCTTTTATGTATAAGAATATGTGAAGCTAAATAATCTACACATTCTCTATATACATAGTATACCTGCAGCTTTTCCAGTGTTTGAACTGTGCCAATTTTTTCTATCACTCAAAGATTTTAACCGTACTAAAGAATTTTAAATACAATATATGAATACTTAATATTTTTCAGCAAGTAAAAAAACTAAACATTATGGTAATTAAATTTCAGAAGTTACTGTTGATTCATTTAAACACTCTTGAGAAGTTTTTCAAGTGCACTTACAACATTTAACACTATCGGAGTATAACAAGAGCAGGAAAAACATACTGAGGTAAATTAATAGTTAACTCCAGGATATCCTCTTTTATTGGAAGTTGCAGACTTCATATTTAAAACATTTCAAAATTAAAACTAATTTCATATTTAAGGGGGGAACACATACCAAGAGAGTATAAATTAGATGCTTTTTAAAAAGATAAAACATTTACATCAAATAATTCCAAGAAAAGTTTAATATTTAGAAATATTTCAATACTATGAAAATAATAAAGATATATAATGATTTTCTGATTTCACATACATATATGTCTCAGTACTTCCCAAAAGCATTTGTTGAACCATACAGAATATATTTCACAGCACACACAAAATAAAGATCAAATGCATGATAAAATACTATAAATATGCAATATAAAGATGATATGCACTAACTGATTTTGTTTTAAAAGCAAAAAAATACTTAAAAGCAATAGTGTAAAGTTGATCATTTTTATTCTTTATGCTTCATTACTACAAGACAATATTATATATATTCTTACCTATTTTAATCTTTTGTACTTTTAAGCTCTTCACATCCACACATAAAATAACCTAAATAAACTACAGTATTAAATTCGTGCAACACTGAATGCTACTAATGCAAATATGCAAAAGATATAAAGAGAAAACAATAAGTAAAGTGCAATATAATGAGACAATATAATAATTTTAGGTAATTTATAATAAAAAGTTAATAGTAAAACCAATGACAAGAATATCCAATAATAAAAAGTTAATAGCAAAACTAATGACAAGAATACCCATTTATTTAGAAATATGACAGAAGACATTTTCATTTAAAATGTTACAAAAGTCTTTTACTAATCTTCATTAAAATGATTACATAGTTACTCAGTTTGATGATCACAACTCTGCATATCAAATTAACCACATCTTAGTTTAATAAATTTCAGAAAACTGTTCAAAGATTGTCTATATTTTTTAATTACAGAATTTGAAAGAAAATTGCATCTTTAGAAGAATTATATGCAAAGAATCATTTGTATGTCAAAAATACATTCAAATATATAAAAATTACAATTATCCCTTTAATTTTCCATTTTTGGACACATTTGTTACAATTTTTTTTAAATTTTTATTTAGTTGCTTAGGAGGCAAAGCTTTTCTTGCATTGAATGTTTCACTATCACTTCAGACAACTATAATTTGGTTACTAAATTATTCCAAGTAACCTTTGGTACATATTATACACACACAGAGAGAAGAAAAATTACAGTTACCCCTTTAATTTTGCTTTTTGCACACATTTGTAGATTTTTTTTTTTAGTTCCCTTGGAGGCAAAGCTTTTTATTGTTCACTATTACCACAGACAACTATAAGTTGGCTACTAAATTAATCCAAGATATCTTTGCTCAGAAAGACACGTTAATCAATGCCTATATCTCTAAACTCCTGAATATGACCCCCATTAAAGAATACTTCTAATCTATAAATATTGAGATGTTTATATTGTAAGCCAAACCCAAATTCATTCTCTTGAGAGTTTAAATATAAAATCAGAAAATTATAGCGTAATGCTTTGCACTGCATTCCTGAAACTTTAGCAAAAATCAAATCTCAAGCAGGAATAATAATTTAAAAGAACCGTAGGTTGTTTTCCATTATTTCATAACTGTGAAGAAGAGAACATTCCACATACACTCTCCCTTTTCCCAAGCAACATGCAGCAAATAAAGAATAGTAGAATGCCCATGACCTTTCTCAGTATAAACAATCTAATTACAGGAAATTCAGCACTTCCAATCGCAATGAATTTATTTCCTCTGCTCATGAATTGCTGACAAGTGCTGCTTCAAAACACTTGCACATTTTGCAGTCAGGAGCATCTGAACCATCTGTGTAAGAATGTGAATCCCCAAAAAAGAGACATAACTTTAACAGAGAAAAAAAGGATGTTTATTATGTTGTAATGTAAATTGTTAAGTACAAACCTGCAAAGAAGCAAACGTCTCCTTTTGTAATGGAAAACCTGACCATACAATATGCTTTAAATCAGAAAATTCAAAAAACAAAAGAAGAATTTGAAAGAAAATTGCGTTTTTAGAAGTATATGCAAAAAATCATTCATATGTCAAAAATGAAACGTTGAATACGATGCAGAGAAAAAACATAATGAAACAATTGCTACTTCTTTGAATTATATGATAAATTACAGAAGAAGAATTTTGTTCAAATTGGAAATTGTTGGTAAAGTGTCGTCAGATTATATTTTTTGTTTATTTGACAACAACTTCATGTGCACGTATTTGAAGAAAGATGTTTCTAAAAGACAGGAATTAAAGGTTGTTGATTCATCAAAATTGAAAATTTATAGGTTTCGTGCAAAGACTGCCAAATTTCAGATTTGTCAAAAGGTGGAATTAAAGTTGCAAAATATTTTGAATGACAGCGAAGTGTTTATTATTATTATCAGAAATCAATGAAATATCAAAAGCTGTAAAAAATATGTCAGATCAAATTATTTGTGCAGAAATGGAGTTCAGAGAATTTGCCTTAACATTTGATTTCAAGGTATTATCTAGCAATTGTCAAATTCCGTTGTTGATAGGATCATATTATTATAAAGGGATCTGAGTATTTGAAGTCATCATTAGTATCTACAGAAACTGCTTTCAGATGGTCACTCCAAGGAAAACATGATGAGCTAAGCAAGTCTATGTCAGCTAATCTCATTCTCGCTTAACAAGATTCAGTCTCCATTGAGCTCAGGTGCTTTTAGGAATTGGAGAATTTGGGTATTGGAGGTAAAGAAGCAGATACTTTCAATATGGAAGAAAGAAAAATTCTAAAGGAGCTTAATGAATCGATTCAGTTTATGGTATGATACTGTGCTAATGGGAGATACTGTGTGACATTGCCATGGACAGCAGCTATGCAGGAGAAATTAGGAAATAATAGGGAGATTGCAATGAAGTGTTCTAATAGTTTAGTTCAGAAATTGAAAGAAGATGTGCTATTATATAAAGAATACTGTGTGGTTGTTGACAGTTATCTTAAAGAAGGAATTATTGAAAAATCTGATAGGTTAGAGAATGAATTAGCACTTACTCCACCATGCAGTTGTTCAAGAAGACAAAATTAGCTTGTCTGCAAACTGTATTTGATGGTGCAGCTCATGGAGAAGCAGAACTTTCACTAAATGACTGTTTTCATAGAGGAGTGAATTTATATCCTAATTTGTTTGAACTGTTATTAAAATTTAGACAAAATTATGTAGCTTGCTTACACAGAAGACATACAGTAAGCCTTCCCATAAATAAAATCAATCCAGATCTTTGCAATACTAAATTTTTCTGAATTGATGATCTAAAACAAAGAAAATTGTGCTGAATTTTATTCATGTTTTGTTTGGACTTACAGTAAGTCCTTATCAACTCACAGTTACACTAAAATTTCATTTTGAAAATTGTCAAAATTTGTATTTAGAAACCTGTGAACTGTTACTACATTCATTCTGGATTAATGGTTTTGATGCTGGAGATCCTGCTGACATCCTTTCCAGGGTATTTCGGCCTTGGACTTAGCTGAAAATTTTTTGTGGTGGCATAGATCACCTTGGTTGAGTCAGGCCTGCAAGTTTTGGCCTGGCAAGATACGAGAATCTCACTGGAGATTTAGAATTATGAAAGGAATTTGAAAGTGTAACACAAGACAAATGAGCTGTGAATTCTCAATTTGTTTTAGATTTGAATAACTATACTAACCTAACTAAGGTAGTGAAAATTATTAATTAAAAGATTCATTGGTAAACTTAGAAAATAAAGTAAAAATGAATGTTTAGATGATTTGTTTTTGTGCTGATGTTTCAATTACTTGTTTTGACTAAAATTTCAGGTTTAAATGTCAGAGTTTTAAGACCACAGAAATATTTTGAAAGTTCATCCCCAAATTTTGGCTGATTTGGGTTTAAAAACATTTAGTGCACAGTTTCAAAAGCTACATGACATGTAAGTATGAGTAATAAGCTTATTTCACTTAAAATACCCCTGCAATGTTGGCTTATTTAATACATTTGGGCAATAATAAATATTTTACATGGCTTTACATTTTATATTTATTAAATATCTGGAAATTATAGCTAAAACTTAATTAATTCATCTCAGTATGGTCTATTTTAAAGCAAAGAATGGCACAAGAGGAATATTTTTTTGTATATTTTAAAACGAGGATCAAATGAAAATTAAAACATGCAAATTACAATAAAACAACATAAAAACTATCTTACTTGCTTTTAATAATAATATGATTATAAAAGTTTAATAATTTGTAAAAAACTTTACTCAGCAAAATCTTTAGCAAATGCAAGCAAAGGATCTGTAAGAAAACAGACATACAGGCAAAACTGTTAAGTGGTTAAGGGATTCATCAGCAAACTAATTTACACATTCAAATTAATATCAACATATCAAACTATTCCTAAAGTCAAAACATAATTTCCAGTTATTATTCAGTACATAAATTCTGTAGCAAAACAAATTCATAAATTTTTATAATACTTTCATCTTTAAGCTAGTAAAGAAAATTTAAATAAAATGTGAAATACCTCACTACTCTTCCATGGGGATGAAAAAATTATGTATTTTCCATTTCCTGTCCAACACCTTTTAGGTAATTTTTCAATGTATAAACCAGGAAAAGAATCATCTATTACAAAAAAAAAAAAAAAAAAAAAAAAAACTATAAGCAATTTTGAATAAAAATCGAAATATTTAAAAATTTTGTTCATACCCATTTTGGACTTTATTTAGAAAAAAGCTTAAATCAAAAATTAATTTCCAAATTTTATTTAAAAAAATTAAATTCAGATTTAACTTAAAGAATAAACTTTATACCTACAGTTATATAAAATACATGTTCTTAAAAAGAAAAGATGGAATATTGTATTTTAAGGATAATTTAGGGTATTTTTATGAAATATCAAGAAACTATGAGAATAATAAAATAGTCAACTACTCCTGATTTATAAAGTTTCATACATACATATCTCAGTATTTAATGCCCTGTGCATAATGTAATAAACCTGTTAAGGGCAGAGGAACATAATTTTAATAAAAATGCGCATTAAAAGATTAGGATTCATTGCATTATTATATGACATATTTTATTTATTACATATTTTTGCAAACTATTAGGAATAATGAAGAAAACAAGCTTTTTAGATTACTGCATTGCTTCCTGAATATGTATGGATAGAAGATTCTCTATTCCTTATTACAGAAATAATCTGTATTACTATAGAAATAATCTGTAGGATTATGTAAATATTAAAGATGCCAAAATAAGTTAGCAATAGCATTTCTTTTGAATGTTTAGACATTTCAGTGAGTTTTTGACTTAAAAGAAAAAGCCATAATGTATTGCTGGCTGTTATTTCCTAATAAAGTTCCTCAGTTGAATTTCATTTGTGTTCTCTTGTCTTTTATATGATAACCAATGATCTGTGGCGAAAAAAATATTTCATTAAATACAGAAGAGTTTGAATAAGAAGTATTTAAAGTTACATCAACATATATATTGCTTAATCAATGGTAGAATGCAACAGCTGCTCATAGCTGTTAAAAACTAAACACTTATTTTACACAAAGCAAGTACAGAAATGCACTGTAATATAAATTTGTTAAAGCTTTACTATAGTAAATATATTATAATAAAATTAGTACATGCTTTGGAAACATACTTTTATGGATCATAGTTATTCTTCTCTTTAATTACTAAAAAAAAAAATATGCACAATGAATTATCCAAAATTACCACCTACTAGTTCAAATAAATACAGCCCTAAGCAAATCTATTTTCCTAAAAATACACATTAATTTCACTTTGCACAAAAAATAAAATATCAGTTTAGGAGCAAAAGAGCAGGTTAAAATTCTATCATCCAAAGCTCATCTAAAAATCTGTTTTAGTAATTCATAAAAATTCAAATTAATTTTTAAAAATAAAAATTTTGATTTAATTTCTTTCTGAGAGCTTACAGAATTAGAAATTAAATTCTAAAAATAATGGTTCAAAAATTTATATACAAAAGCTGCACAGTACATTACACTAGAAGAACTTACTTCGCAAGTTTATTTCAGTTCTATGCTAATATTTTAACATGAAACTAAAGTAAATGTTTTATTCAAAATTTGTGTATGTCTTAAATGATATTTGCTTTCCACTTTTGCAAAAGTCACAGCATTTGTGATGTTCTAAATGAATTTCATGCAAAATTCGTATAATGAACTCGCAGAGTCATTAGGACTTTTGAAGTAGGAAACACAAAAAATTAACAGTGTCCTCGCCAGGACTCGAATCTGTACCCCTTGAATATGCACTGAATGTGCTACCATTACACCCCAAAGTTATGCAGAAAGGATGGAGAAAATACCTTATATACTCCCCCTTTTAAAGGGCGACTGGGGATTAGTGACCCAATCACCAAATCCTTGCGGTGAAAAATTATCATCCACCACCTTTTAATTCAGGCGCCATCGTAGAGTCATTAGGTTATTTTGAAGCCAGGAAATTGAAGAAATCTGCAATGGCCCTCGGCAGGGCTCAAACTCTGGACCTCTCAAATATGTGTCAAGTATACTAAACTCCTTTTATAAACTAAAAGTATACTGGCCACTAGTAGCCAAGCAATAAAGTTGCTGAACACTGGTAGTTCGGTCTCGGGTTTGAATCCCAGTGAAGGGACTGACTGCATGGGCATTTCATGTTTTTCCCATGCATAATGAGTATATGAGCCAGTTCCCCTTAGAAAGTCCTCCTTAAAAGCATCTCTTCCCTTAAGCAGATAGCCCTCAAGTGCTTTGCTATAATCAAATAAACCAAACCAACCTAAAAATATACACTATATTTGAACATCAGTCCCTTAATTATTGCACTTAAAATTCCCAAATTGTTCTTATTTCACCTCTAATCAAAAGCATAAATGTTCTTTTAACAGTTTTCATTTCCTATAATTTCAATCACTTGTTATGGATATACTTTTTTTGAAAATACTGTTTGTTTGATAATAGATAATTTGATCTGGCACTTTCACACTCTGTTAAAATACATACAGTATCTCAGAGAGATGTTTACGTTTCTAGCAAAATTTACATGGTAACCTCAGAACACATAAAGATGCCAAAACAATCTTTTCCAGGCCATTGTAATTGTTCTTAAGTTAAATGCATGACTTTTTCATGCACAAATTAAATGCATGACTTTCTGGAATATTTTTAACTTACTAAAAACAATAAATGCTTAAAAAAGAACCATCACATAAATCACACTAATCATCATTATTTTGTAAATAAATCAAAAAATGACCATACCTATTTATCCTAATGGTCACGTTACTTATGATCAGAAAACAAGTAAATGAATGAATACATAACAATAGCCACTCTAAAATATTTTGAAAGATAACAAAAAACAATTACTTAAAAATTATTATAAACATGTAAAATGCATTCATGGTTCTTAAATTTTTAATTTACAAAAAATAAATAAAGAAAGAAATAAAGAAATAAAATAAAGAAATAAATCTAAGAATTGCAAATTAGGTATACATTTTGAAGAGCTCTATAACACATTAACAGATAAAAGAATAACAAAGATAATTCTGGGATCAGGAGAAAATACAAATACTTATTTACCATCAGCTTTTTCAACAACATCAATAACTGTAGAATGGGTCTTGGAATTCCAGTCATACTAAGGAAAAAAATAAGTGCAAACGTTATAAAAATAAAGTATTATTATTAGTACTACTATCATATATAATAGAATTAAATATTTTTTTAAAAACAAAAGAAATAATCTGAAAGGGTTCATATCTTAATGGTCACCTAAAACAGCTCTTTCAAAGTGTAATATGGTTTATTGGTAGAGATTATCAATAGAGATGGTTAGAGTGGAATAGCAAATATTTTGTAGGATAATAAATAATATACAGGGTGGTTATAAAATAATGTGAGAGCCCTCTAGGATCAGCTGAAACATTTGATGGGTGTACGTGTATTTCAATTTCTTCAAACAAACAAAAAAAAAAAAAAGTGTTGTCACAGTTTTCTGAATAAAATGCATTAATTTGCATAATTGCTTTCTATGTAGCGATCATGAGTATAAAATGAAAGGCTAGGAGAATTTTCATAATTCTTAGGCTAACTGACTTTCAATGGCTCTTACTTTATGGGACCGTTCTTTGTTAGTCAAGCTGTTTATAAGCGGAGCGAGAATGCCAATGTTGCTTTTGTGAATTTCGGTAGAGCACAACAATTTCACAACAATGATTCGAAACCAAGAACATGTTGCCGATATCACAACTTTGAAAGATCACATAATATTACAGGTGGAACAAATTAATTCTGATACGTTGCAAGCTGTCATAGAAAATGTTGTGCAACGTATGCAGTTCTTCGAACATCGCAATAGAGGCCATATTGAACCTCATTTGTAAGTAAAAACCAATTGTTACTAATAAAACTGATATGTGCTGTGTCGTTTGGCATTTAATTATTCACACTAATACACATTTGCAGAGCCAACCTTTTCCATGCTAGTTACTTTTTTTTTTTTTTTTTTTAAGAAATCGAAATTCCATGTTTTACTATGTAAGGCCATCAAATTTGGTTATGTTTCATCCAAGACTGTACTCACCAGAGAAACCTGAATACTCACACTATTTTATAACCATCCTGTAAATTTGCATTAACATGGAAACATTATACTACATCTACTATATATCTGAAAAGGTGAAAATTATGTAATATAATTCTATAAAAATATTTAATGTTTTTAATTAGATAAATCATAGTTAAATGACTTTTTGTTTAAATCAATCAGATTAAAAAGTTTATAAAAAATTTTCTTATAATTAATATAACTATATTCATCTATTGCTTTTAAATAGCTCAGTTTGTTAATCAATTACAAACAGATTAAATTTGAAAAGTAACTATCTTACATTTTGCAGAATGGCACTAGCGAATGACATTTAAATTGAATCAACACAAAATTTCAAGACAAATACCCTTTTTGGAGTAATAGAATAAGCCAAAAAATATAATTTATTAGAAGTACAAAACATAAAGGACCCTTTTTAACTGATACTTCCTATGAAAAATATCTGATTTTATAATATATTTAATCCTCATGCACTGAAATAACTGCATTCACCTCTATTAAAATTTCAGATATTGAAGGGCATTATGAAAATTTCATTACCTAATTCTCTTCCTGTATATAAATTGGCATGCTTAAGAAAGGTTTTTTTTTTTTTTTTTAGAAATATAATATACCAATTAATTAAATTTATAATTCACGGACATAGAAACTTTCATTAAATGAACTCATATGCTTCTTTAACTCAATCCTTAAAATTTTTGAACTCATTTTTTAAATTCTTCAATTATTTATAATTATAGTTAATTTAGGCTTCAATTATTACAATTTTCATTTCATCATTTATAATTTTCTATTCAAACATATAAACCAATTAAAACTTACAAACCATACTTAAGTATATCTGTGCTTAATCTTCATCCAAGTCCACTCCATAGCTATTGTAAATTTCTGTAAATATTAATGCTTATTTAATTGTATTGTTATTTTTGTGTACTCTTTTATTTGTTACATTTTTCATGTTCTGTACTCTTTTATTTGTTAAATTTTTGCATTTAAGGTAAAAATGTCAAGGTTTACTTTTGTGTAATTAAATATGTGGCCACATATTTCATGTACAAGGGCTATTCAAATTAAAAGGTACAAAATGACACTAGGGATATAATTGAAGTCTTTATTCATAAGCAATCACCACAGGCCTGGGCACAGTTATCCCATTGTTTCAGGAGCCAAAGGATTCCCTGTTCCCAGAATTCCTGTGGCTGTGACAGTACCAGTCCTCCACTGTGTCTTTCAGTTCATCATCCGAGTTGAAATGCTTCCATTTGAGATGTTTTTTAACAGACTAAATAAATGGAAGTCACAGGGCGACATGTCCAGGCTGTAGGGCAGACGCTCAACCTCTTCCCACTTAAACTTGGCCATTACACTTTGCGTAATCTTGGAGACATGTGGACATGCATTATCATGGAGCAGATTCATCCCTTCCCCCCCCCTCTGTGAGCAGCCTAGGCATTTTGCTTTCGATGGACTTGTATGGAGACTAAGGATTGTCTCACAGCATATATCGCTGTTAATGGTTTTTCTGTGCTTGAGGAATTCGATGAGCATCAGACCTTGGATGTTGAAAAAGACGGTGATCATCACATTGCCTGCTAAGGGCACACCTTTGAATTTTTTTAGGGGGAAGTGACGATGTATGCTTCTATTACATGCTATTCGACTTTGTCTCTGGCTTGAAATAACCAGCTCTTGTCACCAGTGATGAGTGCTCCAGGAAAGTACGGTTTTAATGATAACGAAACAGGTGTTCATAGCTAGTCCCATATGTTGTTCCTTTAGTGGTTCGCTGATCTTCTTCAGAACCCACTGTGTGCACACCTTCTGCTAACCCGACAATGCACAATTGTCTAACACTGGCCCCCACCATCATTGTGAACATTTGCATTGTGACATGGCGATCACATCTCACCAGGTTGTTCACTTTATTGATGAGTTCGACCGTAATAACCATGTTTGCCTGGCCTGGTCTTGGGTCATCACTCAAAAACTCCAGCCCTTCACGAACATGGGCACTCTACTTTCTCATTGACTTGTTATGCACCCATTTCCCCCATATATGGTCATCATCCAGCAATGAACATTGGCTAGTTTAACCCTTTTAACAATCAGAAATCTCATAACAACTCACTGCTTCTCAACCATCAAATTCTGCAACTGAACGCCAGTGTCCTCACTTGCACTGCTGTATCAATTGGACGAAACACATAACAGCCTATATCTGTCCTGCGTCGTGTGGGCACCTGCACATGTGCACAACCATGCTGGACACTATATTTGTATCCCTAGATATCTCACTACATTATCCCAAAGTGGTATATTCAAATTTTAACCTGTTTGATTGTTACGACATTTTCTACCTTTTCATTTAAACACTCCTCATGTATGTTTGTATTTCTTACACAGAATTGCAAATGCTATTCTGAAACCATAAATATTTATATTGTAAAATAACTTATAGAACATGAAATATGAGTAAAAATACTCCTAATGGGCCTTGGTAACATTTGGAAACTACTTGCCAATATAGTAATTTGTTGAGAAAATGCATTTTTAAAGTTCCAAGAGCAATTTTTCTGGAAACTTTCAAAAGTTCATGCAACAGCACATAAATTTGGTTCTAAGTGAAAGGATGTGTCAGATCTTAATCAGCTATGATTCAGTTCTGAGTACTTCAGAGAGACTGCTGTTCAAGTTACTAAGATGAATTATGTTTACTCTGTTAGTGATAAGTTTAATTTATATTATTTTTCATGTGTTAAAGAGGATTTGCCTAATACAGTCAAAAGTCGTTAATTCAGACACCCATAATCTGGAATGATCTATAATCCGGACCTCAAAGCTAAAAACTTTCTGTGCATGTGTCGCGTTGATGCATGTGCATAAGACCTTTACGGCTGTGCATATGCGTGTGCGCATGCGCATAATACATTTACGCATGTGCATTTAATGTATGACGGATGGTATAAGCTAAAATTATCTAATTATCTATTTCAGTTAATGTTGCAGATTGCGTTGTTTCTTAATCTTCGAATTGGATCCGGCTTATTATTTTTTGCAGACTGTTAGAGAAATTTTTAAAAGTAAGCTTGAACTTTCGATTTTGTCAAATAGAATTTCCGATGCTGGAGCTCCCAAAGAATCTACAAAGCGAAAGCATGTTTCGATATCCATCAAACAAAAAGTATTGCTGCAAAAAATGATAAAAGCATATCCTTTGTTTCTCTAACCATTCCGAAATCTGTTTATCAATTTCATGCTGCTCTGCGGGGGGGGGGGGGGGCACAATGAATTGGAAGTTGATCTGTCAGCACTATCCTTATCTTCAGGGCAGATATTTTTATTTTATGTTGGAAAATATGACTTATTGTAAACCTTTTACTGCATCATCTCTTCTCCTTGAAATGTTTATTAGGCTTAGTTCTTATTTTAATGTAATATAGTACTTACTTCTACTTCTTTTTCTTACTGCCACTGTTTGCGTTGAGAACGGACTGTTTCAATCTAATTACGATGCAAAAACGAAACGTGATGTTACGTCATCTGGAAAGCCGAATCGTGCCGATAGCTGATTGGTTGCCGTGAGATGATGTCATGCCTACTTCTGGTATAAGCATCTCGCGTCGCTCTGGCTCAGCCCTTCTAGTTCCTGCTTTCCTAGCACTTGGGTGTGCGGTTTCCAGCCTCTTTTGAAGGATGCATGCAGTCCGGTGAATAAGTTCCTTGGTTCCTGTCCACAAGATAACTGTTCCTGAATAAGTTCCTTGGTTCCTGTATACAAGATGACTTTTCCAGAATAAGTTCCTTGGTTTCAGAGACTATAATGTGAGTGACTGCCGTGGGCGGCATCCATGTTCTTCATGAAGGTGGCATTTAAAATAAGTAGCGGCGATTCCTCATGTTCAACTAATGTAAGCGGAGTTAGGCCGGATTTAAATGCTTTCAAGAACTTAATTTAAATTTCAGGTGCTTTCTTGACCATTGATCATGGACTTATTGAATGTGTAGCCAATTTCATTTGAGACCGCATAATTACTGTTTAGGACATTTTGTTTGTATTGAATGCCAGTACTTTTGGAGACCAGGTAAAAATATTATTTGATGAATGATGGTTATATTATATTTTTTCTAAGACTCTGTTTAAATTTATTTTTTGTGTTTTTATCCTTTTTTATATTGTTAATAAATTGGTTAAGTTTGAAACTTCTTTATTGTCTTTAATGTCTGCACAATATATTATCTCACGGGGCTTTTATTGCTACTACTGCTAAATGTTTAATTTTATAAATTTTAAACTTTGCTTTAGCAACATTTTATTTGGCTTATAATTCCTTACTAAATGTAGTATTTCATCTCGATGTACTCTGTCTTTGATATGATTTAAATCACATTCCTCGTCATTATAATTTACTTCCGATAGTGAAGAAAGTGACACAGAGGTTATTGAAAAAGAAAAAATTTCGACTGACAAATTAGTTGGTATTCTCGACACAGCAATTATAGGACTTGAACAGCGGAACTTTGTAACTGAACAAGAAATTATGTCTGTTTAAAGAATTAAAGAGAAAGTATTATCACATAAAACGAAGCAACTTAAATAACTTACATTGAAAGAAATGTTTAATAAAGTAAGCAAATAAATATTAAGCTTTTTTTTTTTTTTTTTTTTTTTGTAAATTTTGATACCCTTTAGATCATAATTGTTCTTTATTTCATAAATTATGGTTTCATATTTTTAATTTTATAATTTCTGCATGCCATCTATAATCCGGAAAAATCGATAATCCGGAATTGAAGCCCCGACGAGTCTGGATTACTGACTTTTGACTGTATACATGTTCTCTTTATGTTATTTATGACTATTTATTTTACTATGTACCATAACTAATTATAATAAATTGACAATTTCTTCCTGCTCCTCTGGAGCAATTATTTAAAGAGCCATTATAACTTTATAGTTCACACAACAAAATAAAACTGAAAAACATTCAGTACTTTCACATACATGTCCCTTTCTGATATATTACTTGAATCGCTTGACTAGTAAAGTTAAGTACATACTGATGATAACTTTCAAAAGGCACTGATTTTCATGCCATTTTGGATTACAGATCATAAATCTGATTGATCTGATTTTTAAAGTAAAAATTCATAACTAGTAATTTAAATTTTTACACAAGTATACATCAAATGGATATATGAAAAGTTTATAATTAATTAGTCCCTCATGAAATTGCAAATACCATTTTGACAGTTTATCAAAACATAAATATACAAGATGGATAACACTATCTCATTACATACAGTACACTGGTATATTGGATGGACATATGAAGCATCTCAGAAGTCTACATGAGCTATAAACTAATTTCAATGAAATTCACAAAAAACACCTATATACTAATTTAAACTGTAACCATTTAATGACTTTGAAACTATGAATTTTATTCTCCACTTCACTAAAATTTTGCTCACAATTTAATGATAATATAGCAAATTAACAACTTTGAAATCAACCAATTAGTGAGTTTACTATCTATTTTATTTTGAAATTAAACAAATATTAACAATCAATGCAGGATCAGATATATAAATGATAATATTTAACAACTTTGAAATCAACCAATTGAATTAATTAGTTTAATATCTATTTCATTTTGAACAAACAAATCTTTACAATCAGTAGATTATCAGATAAACAAATGAATAAATTTCTTCAGTTTCAAGAATTAACTATTGAAAAATCTGACATAAAATATCTGAATTTGCATTTCAATATATATATATAGATATATATATACATGAATATAGGCATTGCTGAAACACAAAAGATGCAAATATAAAGAAAGAAAACACAAAAAAAGCCATTAAAATATCATATATAAAAGATTTATAATAATATCACTTCAATACATTTATACACATCATGTTATATAAATAAAAAATTTTTAAAAATAAAGATTTAACAAAAGAAAAAAAACAACAGAATTTCTACATTTGAAAAATTCTTACTTTTGTAAGTTTGTTACACATACGATGAGGACCTCCAGCTTCATTTTCCAAGTAAATTAAGTAATTATATGCTGGACTGAAACGTGGAGAACGAACACTGACACTGTTCCCAATACTAATGCATTCTATTAAACATAGTAAAAAAAATAAATAGAAAGCAAAAAGCAGTTACAAAACAAATAACTTGATCGATAGATTAATAACAAATCTGTAAAACTAAATATATAATTGGAAAAAGAATTTATTTTTTTAATAAAATCCTAAATAATTTGTTTTTAAATCGTAATTACACATGCACTGAAATAAGGAGTATGTAAACTATAAGGATTTTGAGAATTATATATATCACTAAACTTTAATGGAATGAGATAGTAGTTTCATGGCACTGGAAAACATATATAGTTATTTAATGTATAAATCAATATATAAATCAAAATTTTTTACAGTCTTCAAAATTTCTCAATGTGTCTTCCTTTTGTGATCTGGTGGATGTCTGTCCTATTACCTTATTCAATCAATTATTGCTCTAGTGTCACAAAAACCATGGTAGTTCATTGTTTTAATTTTATTTTATACTACCTGACATTGAAAATGCAACATTAAGAAGGAATGGTCAGAAAGTGATGAAACTCGGCAAACAGAGAGAGACAGCAACAAACAATAAGTGAGCTTCCTTTCAAAAGGTATGCATATATGTTCTCGCTGTTGCATTGGCTCAGTAGGTAAAGGTAAAGGTAAAAGTATGGGGAACACCAGCGATGTACCATAGGTCAACTGGTAATGCCTTCCCATACTAACTCTTTGAAAAAAAAAAAAAAAAAAAAAAAAAAAAAAAAAAAAAAAAAAGGTGGGATAATTGCAAGTTTTATAAGAATTTGTATAGACTGAAGCTTTCCAAAAGGTCTAGAGTTTGCCTATTATGGTACATCGTGCAATTGCACAGTATGCCCCGCATCCAGTATTTATTAAAAATAATGGTGGTTGTAGAACACCTTGTAAGGCAATACACGAAGCAACACGTGTAGGTACGGAGTCAGTGAGATTACAGATGGTGTCCTGAGGAATGGCTCTCCAATTCCTGCCAACCATTTGCCACAGTTCATTTCCCGAATGTGGCAATGTCTGCAATTGGCGCCCAATCACATCTGAAATGTGTTCGATCGGTAAGAGATCAGGAGACAGCAATGGCCAGGGAAGCATCTGTATGCCTTGCACAGCATGCTGGCTGATGCGAACAGTGTGCGGTCGGGCGTTATCCTGTTGATAAAGGGCATTGGGCACTCTCTGAAGGTAAGGGAGTGTCACTGGCCCCAGCACATCATCCATGTCTCATTGGACTGTCATAGTGTCCTGAATTCAAACTAGAAGTAACTTGGAATCTTATGCAATTGTGCCCCAACCATGATGCCATGTGTCGTACAGTGGGGCATTCCACAGTTGCTGCCGGGATTGGACCTGTCTCCACATCGACACCATACTCATATGTGGTGATTATCATTGAAGAAACAGAAGCATGACTCAACTGAGAACATGACCTTGTGCCATTCCGTCATTCACATCACTCGAGCTTGGCACCATTGCAGACGCTGGCATCTATAATTTATGGTCAATGGCAGTCTTCTTAACATATGCCACGAGTGTAGGCCACTACGCACCAATCGATGACAACAATCCATCGATTGGTGATTCTATCGGTCAATGTGGGAACATCCAGGGTGTCTTGAATATGCTGCAGAATGGAAGTAGAAGTGGCTTGAGGCTGCGCCACCACTTGTTGGTGGATGCATCGATCCACATATGTTAACATCACTCTGGCTGCACCGGCATCCCTCAAACTTGCCACAGTTCCTTGCTCCAACCATTGTGCACTGTGGACGCATCCAGGTGTGTGTCAGCTGAGATTTGCTGTATGGACCAACCTGCTCTTCTCATTTCAATCACCATGCTTCATAAAATCATGTGTCTGCTGAAACTGCCTCCGTTGATGATGACCTGGCATTTCTCTGCTGTTACATGTGTCCTCTGAGACAAGAATACATTTTCTATGATAATTTCCCTAGAAGAAATCATGGCATAAAACTTAAATATTCTGCAGGTTCCTTCCCTTATATCTTCTTCAAAGTGCTCTGGAGAGTTGCCCATTCCACATCATTCGCATAACTCGGTAACATGTGTCTACCCTGAAATTTACATTTTCTCTGGGCCATTTCTTCTTGGTGTTGCATTTTCAATGCCGGTTAGAGTATAAATCTCAAACTAACCAGATAAGGCTTCTGCTCTTTCAAAGCCTACTATATAATATAACACTGGACATTTGAGTATTTTTTCTGTTAAAAACCATACAATTTTGTGATTAATTTATTACGGCATATTTTGTTGGCACCGCCAAGTGTTACGACACTGGTTTGGCTTCTTTCCAGGGTATAACTGAACAGTGGATTCTATCATACTTAGGGTTTGCTAAGGGATAAAGAAGGAGCTTTTTGTTTCTTCAAAAAGAAAAATTTTGTTTGAATAACCACTCATCAAATCAATATTTGACTTGAAACTGGACTGCTATTATGCAGCCTTTGCTCATGCCATGGGAAAAAAAAATCTGAATACAAATGGGGTTTGCTGGATCAAACAATCCTTTTCTAAACTTCATACAGATTAATTTAATTATGATATCAGAAGTTAATGTCTGTTAAATTTTATGAGCCAAACCTTGCTTCAAAATGGTAACACAATGGTGATTGGACTAATTACATCCTTAATTATCTTGAACTAATTTTAAAACTGACAGATGCAGCAAAATTCAGTTCAAGAATAATATTGCAAAATAATTTTAAAATGAGCATATCTTCAGAATTTCTGATACATAGTCTCGTGTGCTGGAGATAATTCTTTTTTTTTCCTACAGTCTTGCCATTACTCGCTTTGAAATCATTGAGTTTGTTAATAAAAAATTCCTTAAAGTTGTACAAAATATGAAATCGATAATAAAACAAATTCCAAATCTGGGCATCCAATTCAGGTGCCCATATTCAGGTGGAAATGTATGTTATTCAAAATTTGATGGCTCCAGGTACTATTGTTTTATCACAGTGCGAGAAACATACATATATGCAGATTCTTCATTATTTAATTTGTTTAACTATAGTACAGAGCTGCAATATTTGATGGCAACAGTTTGAAAAGTAAACTGACATTTAATTCAAATAGTGCCAAAAATGTGTGATATGGCTTGTGTGGTACTAACATCTATTACAAAATTTGCAAAATTGATTAAAAATATTTCTAATTCCCCTAATACTAATAATGTTAACATATCCCTTTCAGTTATTACATAATGTTACACTAAAATTCTGCAGAATATTGTGACAGACTCTGCATTTCATGATCATAATGGTAGAAATAAATAATGTTCACAGTGTTAGAAATAAACTATTACTCCAAAAAGACATGTGAGTAAGAAAGTAACAAAAGTGTTAATGTGAAAAAAGTATTTTTAAGACATATTCATATAACAGTACATACTTATTATCACAGCTAGAGTAGAATTTGCCAAATTTTCAGAATGTGCCAAACTCTGGTAACCATGTGCTATTTTAATAGACAAATCATATCTCTTGACTTCAAGTTCATTTTAAAATACCACTTGTGGAATTTGCCAGAAATAAAAAGAAATTGAGGTAAAAGTTCAGCAGGAATACAGTATTTTGTCACTAAAAGGGAAAATTATGAGAGACGTTTAGTAGATAGCCAAAGCACAATGCCACATTTCTGCAATTCTCTGATGTTTTTAAAGCAAAAACAGATGGCTATGTATTTAAAGGGAAGAACAGTACAAAAAAATTAGAAAAAATTTTCTGAAAAATGTGTTTTAATTTTTTTAATGTATCATACAATCCTTTTTTAATAGTTTTCATTTGTATTTTTAAAATTTTAAAATGTTTTTGTCTTTTGATATGTTGCTAATATCTGCCAACTTAAGATAAATATCAATAGTTTGGGAATATTCTTGAAAAAATTCATAAAGATCACCAGCTAGCCCCTGGTTTTTACCTTTTCATCTATAAAAAAGCCACCAAACTGCTCCAAGGTGGATGCCTTAATACAATTAATACATTAAATACCTATAAATTATATTACATATACAAAAATTGGCTAGCTGACTGGCTAATAATAGATTTGAATCATAACAATATCTATATGATTATGTTAATAACAAGCTAGTGACCTTTTATGTTATCGGACGACATGCGATACATTAGAATGAATTCACATATATAAAAAGCAAATAACATGTAACTAGCAGGAAGTATCCAAATAGCACATATAACTTTTCTCCCCCCCCTTGCATGATGCCCTATAATGAGAAAGATCTCAGGCTAACGCAAATTTTTTTAACTTACCAATTTCTTTATTTTCTTTATTGACTGAATAAATTCCACTTCTACAATACAAAGCAAAATTAAAAATATTATTAAAACATGCATACTATATGTATACTGAAAAATAGAATAAAACACATATTAAATGACATATTATTTCAATTTAATATCTAGTTTTTTATCACAGATTTAAACTTGCATGCATAAAAGTTTATTAAAATTTGGAATCCAAATTTAAAAAAATGGCTAAACATTCTCAAATTATTAGCACAAGCAACTAAAATTAAAAAAAAAAAAAAAAAAAAAAAAAAAAAAAAAAAAAAAAAGGCCCTATGGCAAATTTTGACAGTAAGAGCTTTTCAAATTAATTACAGTCTATTAACACATTTAGAACTGATTACTGAAATTGACGATACTTGATAAGCAATTAACACTTCAATGGCTGTATAATCTTATGGATATTTTATTAATTGTGATGCCAAAGATGACAATATAATATTTGCAAACACTGACATCACTTTAATTGCATCATCAATTTACCAGTGGTATTGGTAAATTGTATAAGTAAATTTTATGCTCTGGTATTGCATAAAACTATTTTATGACTACCAACAAAGGAAGATGGAACAAACCGAAATTTTCTGGAAGATGAATATGTTCAGCATTTCTGATATTTTCAGAAACTTTTTAGTATGATTTTAGTGCCTGTTAAACAGAAGATTTTAATTAAATTAAAGCCACTGAAACTGAAGATTCTTTTATACAAGGATGAAAAAGTTTGCAGGTATTTTGTGTATCAACTGATTTGGATGAAGTAATGAAAATATTGAGCCCAACTTTTCAAAAAAGGAAAAAACTTGTAGGCATTTAAACACCAAGAAGCAAACATAAAAGACGGAAATCTTAACACTGTACATATAAAACTAAAAAAATTTTGAAAAAGTCTCCTAAATTTTAGTGACGTGTTTTGAAAATTATCACTCAAAGTTAAAATTAAATTGGAATCAATTTTAAATATCCATACAATTAAATTTTATTCCTAAATATATGCACAAATAATTTTGACTTTAAATACACATTAAATAAATTAAATAGTTATATATTATTATGCAGTAGTATTTTTGTGTTTAGTTTCAAAATTTAAGTGAATTTTTAAATATTTGATTTTTTGGTAAACATATCCAGCAATTCTGGATTTTTGACTTTTATTTTTTGATATTTCGATATCTAAACAATTTTTTAATACTAAGTAATTCTATTCTAAAATCCAAACTAGATGACTGAATTACCTAAGTTACTAGCGAATTAAGCTACTTCATACATAAGAATCATTGCTCTTTGATCAGGATTGTAATAACTAGGCTATATAAATATACAATTTGTGTATAATATTTTAGAAATTCTTTCTGACATACAAAAATGTAATTACATAGATACATATATCAATGGTATATCATAAACATACCTTCGTTGGGCACAATACTGTATACCTAACCTACGAGATAACTTATCATAGCCAACAAATAATATAAATTCATCTTTAGGACCCCAAACTGCCTAAAAAAGAATAAAAATATGAAAGACTTCAAGAATGATAATCTTAAGATTATAAATTTTAAATAATCATGACAGAAGAATAAGAAAATATCGATCGAAATTAAATGATATTCTATCAAGAATAGTAATTTGGTTTAATAAGTTAGTCATATTAATTTTTACCTAAAGGTAATACTGTAAACATAAGTTCTTATATCAAAAAATCAAATAGTTAAATCTGAAACAGATGTTAAAATTTAAAAACCTAATTGTTTTCAGAAGTGCTGATGGAAAGAAGTTGAAAGAGAAACACTCTGTTCTCATATTCTTATGAGGTGTAGGGTTGCCATCCATTGACATCATCAATCCAAGTCCAGATGCACAGCACCTCCATACCAGCAAATATGATCTGAACCTCAGTATGATAGTGGAACAAAATCTCAAGGTGTAAGAAGACATCAGTGATTGAACCTCCTTGGGAGATGTAGAGGTCAGTACAGCTAACAAGCATGATACCATCCCAAATGAAAACTCCTGCAGCTCTAAAAAAAGCCTCACGCAATAATGTTGGAGGGGTGATTACCTGTTCCATTATTTCTCCAGATGTTTATACATCCAGAATCCTATATCAGATTAAACTGTCTCTCATTGTGTCCAGTTCCTATGATCCCCAAACCACAAAAACCGACATTTTCCAATGAGCAAGCATTAATGGCCTACATCATACTGGTGTTGTGCACATAAGACCCCATTTGTGCAGCCTCCTGCCACAATTAACATTATATCAAACATTCAGAACAATGTAAACTAAAATTCAGTACTTAATCTTTTTTGTCATTGAACATTCAAGGTGAAATAAGTCATGATTTTATATAAATGCAAAATTTAACTAATTTTTTTTAAATACACTTATTTATTAATTTTGCAATATATCTTTTACACAATTCTTGAACTACTAGTCTTATCAACTTATAAATCCTTTTAAATAAATTTTTCCATGATGATTACAGTGCATTCACTCTTAAATCATAATGTAATTAGCATAATAAATATATAGCAAAGCAGTTTCAGAAATATCATTTCTAGCATGCTCACAGATCAATTACATCAAGAAATAGAGAGATGAGGTAGAAAGAAATGCTCAGTATCCTGTTACTTCCACTTTGCTGATATGATTATGGATTTCAGTAAACTCTGTTCAAAACAGTTAAACTATTTTACAATCAGACAAATTCACTTTTAGAGTAATATTAGGTTAAGGAAAAATATTAATTGAGGGAAACTGTCTCAGGTCTGTCTTCATTTATTTTTTAATTGCCCATTATTTTATAAAAGCATTCTTCATTTTATTAGTAAGGCTATCTATCTAATAGGCTGAATACATAAATATCTAATGGTGATGTAATAGCAATTTGTTGGTTTTAAGACATCAGAATGGTTTAATAAATGAAAATATACAAAATTTTTGTTATTTATAAATTACCCTGTCGACTAAGAAACTTGGTGGAGATCGCACCAAAGCTGCACCAATCGTTCCTGTAAAATTCTGAAATAACTGACACTTCTTTATTTAGTAAACAAACAGTATTCAACCCATTTTGCGCTGCAGAAAAAGGCTTTTGTCGGTTTTCACTATTCTGCTAGACCCTCCAGTTTTACTGAACCATGTTTATGTTGTTCTGAGGCTCTGTTTAGAAAGAAGAAATTGAATGACTTATTATTGCAAAAAAATCATTGATTTCATACATACATATTTTTATGTATTGTTACAGTACAAAGTCTGAAATCTGGACATCTAATATCCAAGGATCCAGACCACTAGTCAAAAAATAAATAATATTACACAAATTCCTCTCTTCCCTTATATTTCTTAATCTAGGGATAGAGAAGATAACACTCAAGAAAACACGTATTCCATAAAAGCAATTTTTCTCCCAATTAACTCAATCCTTGCATGTCACTTTCAAACATCTACTGGCTAGGGAGTGGCACCATGGCAAATGACAATATATTAATTGAGATTGTATTGATGCTGGCCAGGATCACAAATTCAACCCTTGAGAGGTGAGAATGTGGAAGGAGAGAATTTGTAGAAGACCTAAACAATAAGTGAAACCAAAATGTCGCCATGTCTATATTTCATCTTACTATATTTTGAACAGATGATCTAAAATCCTGAAATTTCCAAAATCCGGAATCATGTCCCAACCATTCCAGATCTTGGTCTTTGTAGTGTACTACACAACCATTTGTAAGTGGATTTTTGTTTATTTGGATCGCATGGATATTCCATGGTGATAACTTGGAGAACATATTCAAGTTAAATGTTCTTTCTACCAGTTTGTGGAAAGACACTATATTTCTAAAGAAACTTTATTGCCATTTCTTTCACTACAGGCAAATCAGACAAGTGCATATTTCATAATTAAGTTTAACCCTCTGAGTGATATGACCGGTTTTATATGGTTATAAGATTTTTTTGTCACTTGCTATATACTATTAGTTTATAATTTAAGATATTTTGCTCTCTGACTCTCTTTAATAATGTAAATGTCATCTTAATGAATGTAAGTTAATGAAAATACAGAATAAAATAAGTAAATAATACAATTTTAGTTAATAAATGCTGTTTAAATACAGGTCTTCATGACAGACCCAAAAATCTATGCTGCTCATAGTGTTACCATAAATAATACCATAATTTAGATATAAAAACTGCTTAAATTTACATGGTTGCCAGAGTTCGATGCATTCTGAAAATTTGGTGATTTTTACAAAGGTGGTTGAGCTTAAATCTAAATTCCAATTATCAATTATAATCTAGAAAACTTACATTTTAAAACAAGAGAAACAACACAAAGGAAATAGATCTACATGCGCTTATCATAAATAATACGAAAATATTGAGTACTATAAAACTTTATTGCTTTAAAATATGAAAATATCAAGTGTTACTCATTTTTATTGCTTTTAAAATAAGATAATTTATTTGCATGATTTTTTATTCATTTCACATCAAAGCTGAATTATTAATCATTATTCAATATACTAACAAAGAAATAATATATAAGTAATACATACAATTTCAAGATAAATTACTTAATGTTTATTTACAAAAAATATTATCTTACAAAAAAAAAAAAAAAAAAAAAAAAAAAAAAAAAAAACTTTACCTGGGTAACCCACAAATTTTCATATTTCCCACTCAATTCAATAACTTCTATTTTTCCAGTCTCTAATTCTAGGATACATATAACTGAGTCATGAAGACCAACAAGGTCTTCACCCCAATCTTCACGATAGAGATATTCTTCTCCCTATAGGAGAAATATTTTTAAAATGAAAATAATGAAGCATCAACTCTCTTTTCATAATAGCCTGTAAAATAAGCCCTAGATTATTGGATGTACAAACTAAACAAATTATGACTTTAAAAATATTTTTACCTTCTTTGAGAAAGTTAGTAGGATTTTAACACTGCATAAAAACTTTTTTTTTTTTTTTTTACATTGATAAACAGGAGTACATATAAAAACTTTTTTCAAGTGTTAGTTATACTGCTTAATAACATTTATTTAAACATTTACCTTAACAGTATCTTTATCATCCTTATCACTTCCACCACTATCTTGACAAAAACAGTCTTTGAAATATGACACACTCTTCTTTTGTTTTTTTTCTGCTATGTACAACAAATATTTCTCATCTGCACTCCAGCTTAAACATCCAAACATATCTTTAAACATAAAGAGAAGAGAACACAGTTAAATATTTAATATCATAAAATCAAATCTAATTACAAACACAGTAAAATTGAGAAAAATTATAGGGGTATTTTAATCAAGTTCTAACAACTTAGAAATATTAACAGGAATGAAGAAAAGAAGTTATATATATATTTTATTTGCTAACATAGTATATATATATATATATCGGTTCACTCTTTTTTGATATTTAAGATATTAGAAGAATATCAATATTTCTTTAGTAAATAAATATTTCGGCTATTGCACAAGTATTAGAAAACTTATTTCGAATTCAGTGAATTTTATCATTATACGAGGGCCATCCAGGAAGTAGATTACGTTTCCGTCTGTGTCCGCTAGGGGCGGGGCTAGCGCGGCCATCTTGGGGTCAGAGCGTTGCGCAGCTCAGTCTGCATCTAGCCGTGCTAGTGAGAGGTTCGTGCTGTGCTCCGTTCAGATACTGTGACGGTTTGAAATGTCTGCGTTAATTGAAAATCCCGCGAGCTGCGAGGTGCGCTCAGTAATAAGGTTTCTGACTGCAAAAAACTGTAAACCGATAGAAATCTATCGGCAGCTTCGTGAAGTGTATGGGGACAACATTATCACTGAAGGTGGAGTGGAGTGCGTCAGTGGGTCATAAGATTTCAAAATGGCCGAACCAATGTTCACGACGAAGATCGAAGTGGGAGACCCAGCATAGTGACCGCCGAACTTCTCGAAAAAGTCGATGCTAAAGTCCGTGAAAATCGAAATTTCACAATAACGGAACTTTCTTTGAGTTTTCCACAAATTTCGCGAAGTTTGTTGCACGAAATCATCAGCGAAAAGCTTGGTTACCACAAGTTTTGTGCAAGATGGAAGGCAAGAAGAGGTAACGAAGTGGTTGAAGGCGCAGGCGGCCGAATTTTTCGACGAAGGAATTTCCAAGCTCGTACATCGCTACGATAAATGCCTTAATTTGTATGGTGACTATGTAGAAAAGTAGTATTTGAGTGTGGCTTTCATCTGTATATAATAAAATTTGTTTCCTATACTTTGTTTATTTTTTTATTCCAAAACGTAATCTACTTTCTGGATAGCCCTCGTATATATACACACATTTACATTATTCCTCCATATGGTTGCTTTCTTGAGTAAAACAACTAACGCATCAGCCAACAGTTATATACCTTTGTTACAGAAGCTTGTCACAACCCATTACATAATTTGAGGAAGAAGAAAGTAGTCAGTGATGTCTTTCTTCCCCACCCTTTTTCCAATCACAAACATCTAGTGATCTTTCTTGAAACTTTCAATAAAATTTAAACATAGTTTTATCATTCATGCACCTTTTTTCACAGATACTACACAAACTGTGATAATTTTTGCTGCACTTTAGCCTCCAATGTACTTGGTAGAAACGTTGATTTTATCAGGCATCTTTAAACTACTGCTACACAGACAAGAATGTGTAGAAAAAGCTATGAGAACAAATGGTACAACAAAATAAAAAATTATTCTTAATTCAATAATATATTCTTAAAACAGATAAACTGTTCAATCAATATTAAATTTTAGTACTTTTCCGTTTTGCCGGCGCAAGCGATAAAGTCGCCAATAACGGTACAACTGATGCCAAACGGAATATTTTTGCTGGTAACCTTTTACGCATCATTTTCAAAACAAGTCGCAGCTTTTTCTTATCAGACTGGTTGTTTCTTACAATACTGGCATATAGAATACATAGAATTTTTATCAGATAGTTCAGTTTATGTCTAAGGCCATTTTCGGTAATTAAGTCAATTGGGATGCAATCACAGCGCTTATCCGAAGCCGAAAATATAGAAAAAGGTAAAGTCAAGGGTTAAATTCATCCATTCTAATGAGAATGCATTAGCGAAGTAAAGCACTGCAGTTTTACATAATTTCTGAGTAAGCTATTCGTATGAATTGAAATATTTCTTGCATTTAAACTTGTGTTCCAAATTAAGATTTAACTTGAAATGAATGTAGATAATTACTGAGAGCATTAGATTTTTGTAGAGTAGTGTACGTGAGATGAGATCGCTTGAGGTCACATGATATGAACCAGCGAATCAGGATGTTGAACCATGAAAGCATAGTAAATTCTTAAATTGTCTTTTTGCAAATTTATTTTCTTTATTTATTGGCTTTTTATAAAATTTTAAGCGATATTAAAATGTTTACGTCTTCTTTTTTTAAAAGAATTCTTAGAACTAATATTTTTTATGTGTATACTGTATGTTGTCGCCAATAAAGTCTGCTTGGCGAGATTTGCGCCGGCGAAACGGAAAAGTACCTAAATTTTATTATATGGAAATAGAGCAAACTAAGTTATTTTGACCAATTTTACTTGGTACAGTAAATACCTAAGCAGCAATCTGGTTCATCCCACACGCATGCCACAATACCACATCTGAGCCACAGGACTGGTGATACAATTGTGAATGTGTTAAATACATATTAGAGAGGAGATACTGGTACTAAGAAAATAACCTTGACACTGTTTCTCCAAAAACAGAAAGTTATAGGAAATAAAATTCAATGGCTGAGCAACTAGCCCATTATTAAAGCATTTCATCTTTCTGTGCATTTTTACTCACTTTAATTGTAAATTTAGATTATGATATAATAATAAACAGTCTTTATTTTTTCAGCAAATTCTGACTAATGCATTCTTACACATGGTCTTGATTATAAGCTAGAAAACTGTCTTGCTGAAAGAATCACTGTTTTCACTCAACTGTGGAATCAGTCAACTTTTCAACATGTCCAAATAAAGCTTCCTAATATCACACACAATTTTGTCATACCAGCAAGGCAGATGTACTGAATGTTTGTGAAATATGTAAAATAATTCTTAATCAATTTGCCTCTATTTAAAATTTATGAAATTAAGTATTAGTTATGTAACTAATTTGTTATTAGTTTCTTAAATACTTCTGAATGCAAAATTTGGGGGGGGGAAGAAAAAAAAAAAAAAAAGGTCACCAGATCAGGCTCTATCAATCTTTCTTTTAACAGTTTTAAGACTGAATTTTTAACTTAAATGTCTTGATTTTAAAACTTCTAATTTAATTTAAATGGTTCTGAGTTTTTTAACCCTGAAAACTGCAATGTCCTTTGATTACGAATTTTCTTAATTTTATAACTGTAAAAGAAGTAGATCGTAAATTAAATTTTTAGTTGAGTTTCTCTTTGGTGCTTATTTCTAATTAGTGAATAATTATAGTGTATGCAAAAAATCATTCAATAACCAAAAGATTCAGTAAATCAGCAAGCTAAGCTAAGGCTGGAATATTACAACATAGGTATCATTATTCAATTTTGAACTCATTTAATTTACTTAATATCATAATAACATAACTTACTGTCATAAATCTTTCCATGTTCTTTGCGCTCAGACAAATCAAATGTCTTTTCTTTTCTGGACAAGTTCCAAATCTAGAATAAAAATAACATAGCTTCACATGCATTTTTCAGTCTATAAAATATTAAAAATACTATAAAGTGCTTTCTTACAGCATAAGAAATGAAATCAGACAGATAGGTTGCCCACCTTATTTCTGTTACAGTTCTTCCCTTTCTTTTTATATTAATGACAAATAATTTCAGATATTTGAAGTGTACAACTAATTCTACTTTATTAGAATGTAACTAAGACTTATTTCATAATAGATAAACAGAACTTCGTGAATGTGCTTAGTCTATTGGTTTGTTTTTGTATTTTATTAGTTTTGAATTAATTTTTTTAAATTAGGTTTTAACTCAGACAGTACTTGTGATAAAAACTAAGAGTTATCTCTAGGTATGTTATTAGAAGGATGCAGGTCTTAACAGCTTTTCTAACAAATATATTATTATACTCTTTTTTTTTTTTTTTACTTGGAATAATGCTCAACTTATCTCTTACAAAACATCAACCTATTTTACATAGCATAGAAAAGTATAAATCTTTTATTATTCCTTGAGGGGATTTTATTTTCTAATGGATGAACAAATTTAGTAGTGACCAAAATTGTGGAAATATTAGGGAAAAAGTATATCTTTGAAGTTTGACGACTCATAACACCATTCTATCTCTCAGTAATACCATAAAATTATATATCAGTGGAAAGGTAATTTAATCAAAAATGTAATACATTAAAGTTTATTTATGTATCTGTGTTCTATAAAAAAAACTGTAGCCAAATAACCAGAATAAAGAAGCACAACTTATTCAGATTCCTATGAAAAAAGTATATCTTTGAGGTTTGATGGTTTATAATACCATTCTATTTCTGGGTAATACCATATAATTATACACTGAAGTGACAAAAGTCATGGGACACCTCCTAATATTTTCTCGGTCCTCCTTTTGCCCAGCGAAGTGCAGCAACTCGACGTGGCATGGACTCAACAACTCGTTGGAAGTCCCCTGCAGGAATATTGAGCCATGCTGCCTCTACAGACGTCCATAATTGTGAAAGCGTTGACGGTTCAGGGTTTTAGGCACGAAGTAACCTCTCGATGATGTCCCATAAATGTTCGATGGGATTCATGTCGGGCGATCTAGGTGGCCAGATCATTTGCTGGAATTGTCCAGAATGTTCTTCTAACCAATTGCAAACAATTGTGGCCCGGTGACATGGCGCATTGTCATCCATAAATATCCCATCGTTGTTTGAGTACATGAAGTCCATGAATGGCTGTAGGTGATCTCCAAGTAGCTGAAGGTATCCATTTCCAGTCAATGATCGGTTCAGTTACAACAGAGGACCGAGTCCATGCCATGTAAAAACAGCCCAGACCATTATGGAACCACCACCAGCTTGAACAGTGCCTTGTTGACAACTTGGGTCCATGGCTTCATGGGGTCTGCACCACACTCGAACCCTACCATCAGCTCTTACCAACTGAAATCGTGACTCAGCTGACCAAGCCATGGTTTTCCATTCATTTAGGGACCTACCGATATGCTCACGAGCCCACGAGAGTCGCTGCAGGCAATGTCGAGCTGTCAGTAAAGGCACTCCAGTCGGTCTTCTGCTGGCATAGCCCAAGGAAGACAAATTTCGCCGCACTGTCCTATCGGACACGTCCGTCGTATGTCCCACATTGATTTCTGCGGTTATTTGACGCAGTGTTGCTTGTCTGTGAACATTGACAACTCTACGCAGACGTTGCTGGTCTCGGTCGTTAAGTGCAGGTGGTCGGTCACTGTGCTGTCCATGGTGGGATGTGATGCCTGAAATTAGAAACTCTTGGCACACTCTTGACACTGTGGATCTCGGAATGTTGAATTCCCTAACGATATCCGAAATGGAATGACCCATACGTCTAGCTCCAACTACCATTCCGCGTTCAAAGTCAGTTAATTCTCGTCGTGCGGCCATAATCATGTCAAAGCCTCTTCACATGAATAACGTGAACACAAATGAAAGCCCTGCCAAAGCACTTCGCATTTATACATTTTCTACGCGATACTACTGCCATCTATATATTTGCATATTGCTATCCCATGACTTTTGTCACTTCAGTGTATATCAGTGGAAAGATAATTTAACCAAAAATATTAAAGTTCATTAAAATAACCAAAAATATTAATGTTGCATTAAATTTCATTCAGTTATCTGTGTTTTATAAAAAATTGTAGCCAAATACAGTCAAAAGTCGTTAATTTGGACACCCATAATCCGGAATGATCCGGACCTCAAAGCTACAAACTTTCTGCGCATGTGTCGCGTTGACGTATGCGCGTAAGACCTTTATGGCTGCGAATATGCATGTGCGCATGCACAAAATACATTTACAAATGCGCGTTTAATGTATAACGGATGGTATAAGCTAAGCTAAAATTATCTAATTCAGTTAATGTTGCAGATTGCGTTGTTCCTTAATCTTCAAAATGGATCCAGCTTATTATTTTTTGCAGACTGTTAGAGCAATGTTATAAAATTAAGCTTGAACTTTCGATTATGTCAAATAGAATTTCCGATATATATTTACTAATATGTAAAGGATCTACAAAGCGAAAGTACGTTTCGAAGTCCATTAAACAAAAGTGGAATTGCTGCGAAAAATGGATAAAGGCATATCTTTTGTTTCTCTAACCATTCCGAAATCTGTTTATCAATTTCACGCTGCTCTGCGGCGGGGGAGAACGCCGCGGCACGCAATGAATTGGAAGTTGATCTGTCAGCACTATCCTTATCTTCAGGGCAGATGTTTATATTTTATTTAAATGTAGTATTTCATCTCGATGTACTCCGTCTTTGATATGATTTAAATCAAATTCCTCGTCATTATAATTTGCTTCCGATAGCGAAGAAAGTGACACAGAGGTTATTCAAAACAAAAAAAATTTCGATTGACAAATTAGTCGGTATTTTCGACACAGCAATTATAGGACTTGAACAGCAGAACTTTGTAACTGAACAAGAAATTATGTCTGTTTATAGAATTAAAGAGAAAGTAGTATCACATAAAAAACGAAGCAACCTAAACAACTTACACTGAAAGAAATGTTTAATAAAGTAAACAAATAAATATTAAGCTTTTTTTTTTTTTTTTTTGTAAATTTCGATATCTTTTAGATCATAATTGTCCTTTATTTCATAAATTACGGTTTCATATTTTTAATTTTATAATTTCTGCATGCCATCTTACCAGATTTAAACTGATGATCTATAATCCGGAAAAATCGATAATCCGGAATCGCCGAAGTCTTGATGAGTCCGGATTAACAATTTTTGACTGTAATCAGAAATAGAGAGCACAACTTACATAGATTTCTGGGAATTAATTTTTTTTTTCATTTCATTGTATCTGATGATCATGAGTGTCCAGAAAGCCAAGCAGGCATCTTTTTTGTTTAGAGAATGAGCCAATCACGTCATGATAGCATTCAACACAGGGTGGAAGGGAAGGGCTCATTACTTTGTGCGATTCCTCGCTGACGCTATCTTCGTAGGGGGAGTTTACAGGAAGTAATCTGACGTCACTATGCTGTATCTGCTCTAACTTTGCCTGTTTAAAACTAGCAATGTGGACATCCCAAATTAATTTTAATCACATGTATTGCTTTCTAGTAAAGCAGTTTCAAAGTCAAATTGGCATGCCACGGACCCCATGAGACCTTCGAAGTAATTTTATGCTGCCTGCAAATACATTTCCCATAAATTGATTAGCATTATTATGACAGGAATTTGAAGAAAATTTAAGATTTTAATGGTTTGGAGTCCAGTTCTACATTATATTCATTACCAAAAATGAATGAAACTCTGGAAAATCTAGAAATAGAGCTAATTAATTTATATTGTGATATAAATCTTATTCAGACTTTAAGATACAAATTTGATTACTGTTATTAGTACTTTTCAAAAGATAAATATGGTAAGTTATGAATTTTTGCAATAAGAATACTCGCTTTGTTTTTGAATTCATTTAAATGAGAACAGTTTTTTTGTCATAGTTAAAAATTAATAAGTCTATGAAAAGAACCAGACTGCCGATGAGTATCTACAATTTGAGATGATACTTTTTAGTAATTTCCCTCCAAGATTACAAACTTAGTGAAAATTGAAACATTATGAAGTGGTACAAATGAAAGGTATAGCAAAAAACAAAGATGTTTACAAGAATGTGTATACACATATTATTTTTCTGTTTTGCATCATAGAAAAATCTAATAAATAAAAGAAAGAGAATATGTTGTCATTATTTATACTCAAGTTTTGTTCTCCTTGGGAAGTTTTGTATATTTCTTTTTAGTTTAAATTGGAAGCAACTTACTTAGTATTTCAATATGTTACAATTATTTGAATAAATTCCAATTTGAAAATTTTAATATTTAGCTGTCTGTTTGAATTCTAAATTGTAACCAACAGAAATAGCTTGCAGCTACCAACTTTTAGATTTCAGGCAAAATATAAGAATAAATTTCATATTCTTCTTTGCATTACTTTTATTCATATGTTTTTACAAATATTTTAATTGAATTAACAAATTTTGTTTTGTTAAAAAAAAATCCTGCTTCTCTCTTTTTTTTTTTTTTCCTTTCTTTTCTTTTTCTTTTTTCTTTTTTTTTTTTAACTGCTGCTCGTCAGCTACTTTCAAATTGTACATTAGCCCATGTATTTTTCCAAAGGATAATTTGCTTTTGGAAAAAAAAAAAAAAAAAAAAAAATGGATATATGTGTTGAAGATAAGATTCTAAATGTGAAGAATGCAAGAATTTGTAGTGAACATTTTCTATGCAGTGATTGTGAAGATGACATGAAAAGTCACTTGCTTGGATTGCCGAGAAAGAAACTGTTAAAATCGAATACTGTGTCAAGAAAAGAAAAATAATGTAAAGCACTTTTGAAACACTACATGAATTAAATTTGAAGAAAATTCCTTTTGAGGCTAATTACAAAAATGATGATAGGAATAATAAATCAGATACAAATTATTTTAAAATA